AAGAGTTTGGACACAGTGAACCCGATTGAGAAAGCCCACATAGCGTGGGTGAAACGCGTCTCGGAGCTGAAGCCAGATTTGGGATTTTACAGCTACTTTTTGCATAAGTATTTTACTTTGTTTTTATATTTACAATAAATTTGTTATTTTTTATACATATCCCTATTGGCCTTTGGTCCTATCTTGCTGTAAAAGAAGGGTAAGTGCCCCCTTTTAAAGGCACTCAAGTCTACCATCTAGAGCCAGGTTCTCATTGGCTCTGAATCAGGTGAGCACTATCATAATCACTGTCTGTGTACTACCTATTATATACATAGTACACTAGGAGGTCTTCCTCCCTTGTTTTTTCTCTTTTTTCTTTGAGGAAATTTACTCCAGTTAAAGGGTGCAGTGTCTCCATACGATACTAATGCTGAAGAGATTTGAGCCTGTCCTTTTATGAGGCTCTAATCCATGTGAGTTTGACTATTGATATATTATCACAAGATTTCTTCTACTCACGGATTTACACTATATTGTGTTGTATTTCTCTGTTTTATTTGCATGTACATATATACATCTGAAATTGAACCCTAATTAAGGGTAAGTGTGATTGTTCAGCGCTCCACTCACTTGACTAGTACGGTCTGGATTTTTATCCAGTCCATACTGGACTCACTGTGTTTTATATTTCCTTATACACTGTGTCATATAGTGCTAATATATACAGTTTCCATCTAACATTGTCTTAGCGCTCCACCATCAGACTTTTTTGAATTTGAAAAGCTCATCCAAAAATATTAAATCAGGGCCATAATTGGTAAAGATGATATATTTTTACCAATGCTAATAAAGTCGTCCTCTACTAGTTGAACATTATCTATTTGCAGATATTTTCGGGATTGTTCTGCTTTAGCTAGGAAAGCTTGAGGAAGATTTTAGTTAAAGATTATTACAGAATTGGTCTTGGATAAATCAACTATGGGCAACAGCTGCAAATATGCACACCCCCCGATTGTCAGCCCAGCAACTGGCTGCCGAAGGAGCGCGCAACCAATCAGAAGAGGTCTATACATATATAAACAAAGACCTGACAGGAAACAGACATCCCGATTGATAAAGCCGTCTGGCGAAATGTGTCTCAGAGAAAGAGGAAGGACCACCCAAGACTGTGGACTGGTATTACTAGCACTTTAATATATTTCTTAATGTTTATAGTTTTTAACCAATAAAGTGTATTTTAATTGTGATTCCAAGTCCCACTGGATCCTTACTGTTTCCTTCTCCTGCTATACAAGAAAGGAAGTACTCCCCTTAAAAGCACATATACTAGTATAACTGGCTTCACAAAATGTGAGCAATAACTTGCACTTTGGTTCCATATTCTACCTCAGCAATTCTGCATGAAACATTTTGTGGAATGAATAGAAAACATTACACAGCAAATTTTAAAGTTATTTAGAACACTCAACTATAAAGTATTGAATGAATTCACTCCTCCCTGAAAGGACAACACAAGCTTTAAAAGGGATTAATGGTTTGAAGACTCCTGCAATAAAGTTTTCAAAGTCTGACTGTATATATGCTTAGTCAAGAAGAATTCTAGTAAATGCCATTTAGTTATTGTGAAGATGATCTGTACCAGTGATGGTAAAAGTTTATATATATATTTATATATATATATATATATACATATATATATATATAGTTAATACATTGCTAACCACAAATACACACACCAGCAAGCCATAAGACTTGCCTTTCCCACAGAAATCTCACTTTAACAGTGCTATCACTACTGCAAGGATTTATGGGTAGGCATATGAAAACGTAAGCAGTGTACGCGCAGCTGCTTTGATGTGGGGTGTTTTCCCAAAATCTTTAATCTGAAGATAACAAAGAAATCGGAAGGTGTAAGATGCCTCCACTGTTAAAGGTCGTCAAAAGTAATGACCTTGGTACAATGAAATAAATGGCATATCCTCTGAAGGCCTGCCTACTCCAAGTTTTGGAGGTCCCTGGCAGTCATGCCTTACAGAAATGCTCTGTTGTGGAAGTAGGGCATGAGGGGAGAAGGCAATGGTGCCAACCCATACTTTTGCTTTGATAAATCCCCAAATTCTCAGATAAATGTTGACATTTTATCTGAATAAACCATGTAGTGAAATGAAAATATAGGATAAATAGTACAAACAAGAGGCTGTGCAAAAAGTTGCTGTGTGCACACCAAGGTGCTACTGGTATTTATTTGAAGGACAGAATATCACAAACGTTTTGGGTATTCCCTTACCCAATACACCATGTCCCTGCACCATGAAAATATATTTTTAGGCAACAAAAGTTAATAATGACTTCTTTTTTGGGGGTACTGTTATACCCGGGAGACTTCGCTGAACACAAATATTAGTGTTTCAAAACCGTAAAACACATCACAACAATTATATTGTCCCTGTAAGTGCCGTTTGTGTGTGAAAAATGCAAAAAACGTCACTTTCACTGATATCATCATTGTAATACATTTTACTGTTTTGAAACACTAATATTTGTGTTCAACAAAGTCAAGATCAAGGGAGATATGAAGAAAGGAAAGAGAAAGTAGAGAGAAAGAAGTAGTAAAAAGTGGGGGGAGTTTGCTAAGCTTGATATGCTGTGTCAGGTATACCTGGATGTTGGGGGGATCAAGGAGGAGGGCTGGGTGTCCCTAGGGGGGAAAGTAGTCATCAGGGTCAGCGTTAAAAGTGTAGAAAAGCAATAAGTGTGGTCAGGTAGCCCATCCAACCTGTTCTCATTGAGTTCCCAAGGGACTGTTCTCCCAAGGTTCCCATTTTTTTTTAAATCTTTAAGTGGTTCCCTTCACTCTAGCTGTCAGATCATCCATCAGATTACTCTCTTTGATTCTGGTTATCACTCAAATAAAATGTGGGCCCCCCCTGTTGCAGCCAGGAGGATGCTACTGCCCTTTGTGAGGCCAGGGAGATTTTATGCATATGTTTTTGTTCACTCCTGGTCCAACCATCTATGGATCTATTTAGTAGACACACCCAAGGATCTAGTTCCGGGGCCCTAGTGAACACCTGGATCAACAAATTCTTAACCAATTTCCAAAATCTTACCATAAGTGGACATTCCCACCCAATACTTAAGTATGTTGTGGATTTGTGCATGTTAAACAGCTTAACAGGAGTTGTGTACCATCGCAACATGGGTTTAAAGGATTGTTCCTGGAGGGTTACGCACATAGAAGTGTTATTGCTAGCTTCTCATATCAGCTGTTTGCTATGAATAAATCAAACAAAAGCAAATGAAATAGCTCAACACAACGAATGCTTTAAATGGTTACCCCAAATTCAACTGAAAATGCAACGTATAATGACTTTCCTAGTCTCTAAATTATTCAACCCCTTTTTCTGACATCTTTAATACTTAGTAGAGCACCCTTATGTTATTTTGACCTGCTGCAAATGATATGCATAGCCTGACACCAGCTTCTGGCAGCATCCTGAGGAAACTTAGCCCATTGCTTATGAGCAATGGCCTCCGTTACAGTAATTTTCGTGGGTTTGCATGCTGCAACAACCTTCTTTTAATCACACCAAAAAATTTCTATGTGGTTCAAGTCAGGTGACTGTGATGGCCACTCTAGAATGTTTAGGACTTCTTCAGCAAACAAGCCTTGGTGGAATTTGAGGTATGCTTGGGATCATTGTCTTGTTAGAAGGTCCAGTAACGCCCAAGCTTCAGCATCCTCACAGGTGGCATTACGTTTTCTCTTAGGATTTACTGATACTTCAAGAAATTCATCTTGCCTCCCACACACTGCAGGTTTCCAGTGCCAGATGATGCAAAGCAGCCCCTGAGCATCACGGAAACACCAACATGCTTAACTGTAGGCAGAGTGTTCTTTTCAGGGTATGATTCATTCTTCTTCCTCCAGACATACCGCTGCTCCATTGGGCTGAAAAGTTCCAGTTTTGCTTCATCGCTCCACAGAACAGAATCTCATAACTTTTTTGTGGCTTATTTGTATGATTTTAATCATTTTGGAGCTGACTTTTCTCGTGCTTTTGGGTCATTATTGGTGTTTGTCTTGGAGTTCTGGCATGGAAACCTTCTGTGTTTAGTACACGCCTTACTGTGTTCACTAATACCTTGTTGCTTGTTGCCACCAAGTCTTGCTGCAGGTCTTTTGCAGTCACTTGATGATTTTTCACAACCTACCTTCTCATAAATCTGGTTGCAGCCATTGATAGCTTCCTTTTTCTGCCCTGTCCAGGTAGTATAACCACTGTTCCTTCAATTTGAACTTGAAAACTATTCTTCCAACAGTATCTCTAATAATGTGCAGTGTCTTTGCTATCTTTTTGTATCCTGTTCCTTGTTTGTGAAGAGATCTCTTCTCTTAACTTTGTGGACCATTCTTTTTACTTAGCCATATTTCTAACATGCAATCAAACGTGACACTCAACAAATCCCCAACCAGTTCAGGTATTTCAAGTGTTCCAGCTCAAGCACACGTGGTGTAACTAATCAAGCCCTTGATTAATGCCTCAGGTGTGCTTGAGACAACACTGTTTTGCATATTTGTGCTGTTGTGGAGAAGTCATTATAAGTTGCATTTTCTGTTGAATTTGGGGAAACCACTTGAAGCATTTGTTGTGTTGAGATATATTTAAATTGCTTTTGTTTGATTTGTTCATGGCAAAAAGCTGAAATTCTGTACATTTTGACAATAAACCTCATTTTGAATAATTTTGATTAAAACTGTATTGCAATAGGCTGTATTGTATTGTAGTATTGTACAGTATGTCTTGTGTTGTATGTATTTATATTCAGGTTTAAATATCCATTTCAAGTCAAAATTTTTGATAATTGTATGAGTGTTTCCAACTTGATTAATTGGTTTTAACATTTTCACCATAATTTACTCTTTGAGCACCTATTTTTAAAATAAATGTCAAGTACTTTGTGTGATTCATAAGAAACAAGTGCACACAATTTTCATTTGCTTAAAAGATTTATTTGTGAAATTCAAGCATTAGAAAAGAAGAATAGGAACACACACAAAACAACTGAAATTGTCCATTACTTAAATACCTTACTTTGCCTTATACAATTGGTAATACTGTACATAACAAGATGTAGTAGCACAGCTATTTTCACATCAAAATAAATGTTATGTTCTTACTGTATATGTTTGCATTTTTGTGAAAAATTCCTGTGCATTTATAAAGGGCAACTTTACACCTAATTATAATTTTGGAGATGTTTTTTTGAGCTAAGTGCCGTTAACCTTCTGACCTCATTTCAATCTAATAAATAGGACTATTCAGGACCTTTTGACTTTTCAGTTCCATTTTTGACGTGCATCGTTTTGATAAAAACAAGTTTCAGTTCATTTTTGTTCAATAAGAGAAAGAAATGATTTTTGGTAAACTACTCAGAATTCTGAGAACTTTGAGAATGATTATAAATCTTCGTCTGTTCTTTTTTCATTCCCCAATACCTTTCCAGAGTGACCAGTCAATTTTTAGGACTTGTTATGTTGCATTGTATTGTTAGAGACATGATGAGAACCTGAAAGAAAACATATTGAGTTATTCAGAACAAATTACCAACTGGTGAGATATATTTATGTTTTTGGGGGTCCTAAATTTACCATTCGTGTTTGTGTTCATTCTGCAACTTTGTTTGTTAGGACCAAAAAAATCAAGGGGTTTGCCAGTCAACAGAATAATTCCAGATTTAGATTATAGCGACTCTGTCACACAGTAACTTTACATTTTTGTTTATCTCCTTTCCTCACAGGTAATTTCGTAATTTTCCTATTTTAATTTATTTTTCTCAATAAATCATCCCTTTTCACCTCAAATTGCACTACTCTTCGCAGCTCCAGATGCTCATTCCTGGTTGTGCCATCTTCTAATTTCTGGCAGTGATGTAAGGTCACTGCCTTCTCTAACCCCACAGTATGCAGTGGGGGAGCAGTTTGGCTCATGCCCAGTCGTGTCGTGAGCGATGAAAATGGAACTGGCTGTTTGCGGCATTGGAAAATGTTGCAAGGTAATAGATGAAGCACAGGAGGAGGTGAGGATTGTGGAAAAGTTTGCTTGACAAAGGAAGTGGAGCTTGCCTTAAGCTCACCATTTTGTCACAATTCAAGCATAGGAAAAATACATAAGACAAAGTAGTCCCTACTTTGTCTTATGTTTAAAGAGAAATAGAGCAGAAATGAAGAGAGGAAAAACAGATTGAGAAGGATAAAGAGAAAATAGTAGGACAAAGGTAAGTTTGATGGGGCAGAAAAAAATTAAATACTACTCTGATCAGTAGGTACTTGCAAGAGATTGCGTCAATTCCGGTATAATGAAAGTCAGTTTTCTGCAATTCGTCTTACCTTTAATCTTTGTAGGACATATTGTCTATTAACCCAAGATGCTTAATAGATATAAACCATTTTAGTTAAATGTGTCGAATTAACAAAAATCCATTTTACCTGTAACGAATAAACCAAACAAATTGAACCGTCAGGTAAATGCCAGACGGATTTATTCGTTTGGGTATCAATTAGCAGGAATTTGATTTGGTTGTCACAGGTGACTAGGATTTGTGCACAAGTCTATAAAAATGGATGCTAATTAAATAACCTCTCATGTTATATGTTTAAGAAGAAGATATCCAAAATAAGAGGATTTCTTTATTTGCGTTATCTTAGGCAACATTAAATCAATAAAAACATTTAATAAATACTCCATGGTGAAAGAACAATCCTTATTTATGGAAAATAAATGGTTTCAAATAATTTAGGCTGGGGTCATTTTTTACTTCACAGGAGTTAAGCCATGACTCATTAAGCAGGTACATGAGTCAAAAATTCTCTGTCAGTGATTTATCTGTGAATGTCTAAAATATTGTCCCACCATGAGGACTACATTTTAGCTTTTTTTCTCTTTGTTTGTAAGCTTATCACTAAACCAAAGTCAAAGGTAAGTTCACTGTATTGGACATAACGTAAAATGTCTCCACTTACTGTCTTTGCTCTCTTGGAAATTATGTTCTTGAGCACTGGAAGAAAAAGACCAGTAAGAATACATGTAAGGATCGTGAGAAATATATTCTGGTTTTCCACTGATTCTCTTCCTATTTATTATTTGTTAAAAGTGTAGTTTAAAATGTTGAACATTGTGCTGATCCTGTAGCAACGCTGTTAAAAACTAATTATCAATATTACATAATAAAATATATTGGATTTGAAACATGTTAAGTTTGTTTTCGTATGTGTAAAATACTTCTCAATATTTTAAATTATGTTGCCATGGATTTGACTAAGGATTATTTTTCTGTCATTAACAGATTAAAATATATATTTTCTTGCCTTTTTCACAGGAACACTCCTGGCACCATAGCAACTCTATTGAAATTAATTTGTTATGGTGCCAGGAGGTTCCTGGCGCTGGCTTAGTTTTAGGGGTTAAACTGTTCAAGAACTTTCAACAACAAAGTTTAGAATCCAGCTCCTGATTGCTTTGCCTCCTATCCTTCCACTGCTCAGATTCATGAAAGAAGAACCTCAGACTGGGGCACCACTGATTGGTTGAGAGTGTCAGTCGACACTCCAAGCCAATCGGTGACTTCCCATTCACAAAACCACTCAAGAAAAAAAACAAATATTTATGAATTGGGAGTTACTGATTGGCATAGCACATCAGTTAACACTCTCAGCCAATCTGCAGCACACCTGGCCAAGGCTTCCTCTTTCAAGAACCAGAGTGGAACCACAGTGGGAAGAGCTAAACAGCGTTGGGTGCTGAACTTTGGGGTTAAACAGTTTGTGAACAGTAAGCAGGTGCCATGGACCTCTTGGCACCATAACAACTTAATACTTAATCCCAATAAAGTTGTTATGGTGCCTAGAGTGTTTCTTTAAGCAACTAAACTACAAGTGTCATGGGTTTGTGGGGGTCAGTGTAAATTGATCAAGATGATTGGTTAAATACAAACCTTAGATCAAGCCTATCTAGTAGACATTTGTATGTGTTAATTTCCATCTCTAGGTGAGTCTTTTGGTCCATAAGAATTTTGTACTCATGGTTCTGGTGCTCCAGGTCAGATCGGATCTGCCCCAACTGGGATTCTATGTTGTTGATCAGACCTTGTAGCTGGGATAGCTGGGAGCTGTACCCAGATTCTATTTCTGCCAAGGTGCCTTCTAGAGCACATTTCTACGACAAACACAAAAAAATAATTTTGGTAAATTACTCTGATATTTATACTAATTATTATTATTATTATTGTTATCCAATATAACTTAATGCCCTGAAACAAATATGGCAAATAAATAGAATATTGACAATAGTGACATAATATTTAACTTAAAAATACACATTTGTTGGCGTCGCCTACTAGATATGTAGGTGTAATATTTGATTGTGTATCTTTTTACACATCAGCTAAGAATATAAAAAAAAGTGGAAAACTATACCATGCCTAGCTGACTCTGTAGCTCAATCTCCAGTGTTTGGGCATTGCGCTTCAAGTCAATGACCTCAGTTTGTACAGACTGGAGCTGTTCTGACCCAGATGCCACCTGACGATTGAGATCTTCAGTCTGGAAGAATTAGAGATCATACAGTGTAAACTGCATATAAAATAAATTATTCACGTACATTACTCAACAAAACTTCTTAATTATATCATGGCATTATTCATTATGGAGAAGAATACAGAGCTCTTTAGAAGATCTACAAAACTCAAAAAATTATTTTAAACTAACGTGAGGAAAGTTGGAAAGTTTATTATAAAAGCCAATTACATTTCTATGCAAATTACTGTTTTTTTTTTTTTAAAGTATTCCTAGAATTATTTACTATAGTGCATAGAAGAATTCAGATAACGGAAATATAATTAACCATAGCATAAGATTTTTTTTTATCATTTGGTATCCGTATTTTTTATTTTATTTTTTGCACATTTGTTGTACTCGTGTTATTATTATTATTATATTTGTCAACTGTAAACATGATTTCACAATAACACGGTTTCATGTAATAAAAATGTTTGTCTAATAAAAATTTGAAACATTTAATAAAATATGAATATTTTTAAGAGCTCCTTTTGCAGGGAATTTCACCCATCCCTAATTTTTACAATTGTAAATGACCTGTTAGAAATTGATTCCTAACAATATTTCCATGATAAGACTGTTAATTATAATAGATATTATGTTTTATTTACTATATTTGAGAATTTCATTACATACATAAAAAATATTTAATAATCATGGTTACCCTCTGGCGGAACATGTTCTCAACCTCTTTCAGGTTCCTCTCCATTAGATTTTCATATTGCTGTCGGATCTCAGACAAAGTTTGGTTCAGGTCTACTGATGGAGCAGCATCCACTTCCACGTTGACTCTTTGTCCCAATTGAGCTTGTAGAGAATTCACTTCCTGTGCAGACCACAAAGAAGGTAACATTCAAATATTTATACTCCAAGTAAACAGGCAATATTTATATTAATTTGTATATTTTTTATCCTGACTTAATCATCGTATATATTCATCAAGAATGGTATTTGACTTTCTGTCTTATAATAAAGACTTTAAATGTTATAGTCAATATTCAACCTCCTCATGGTTCCTCTTCATCTGCAGCAATTCTTCCTGAAGGTTTTGAACCCGTGTCTCAAGGTTGCATATCTCTCGATTCAGTCCTTCTAGAACGCTGCGCAGACCGCTCACATCTGTCTCAACATTTGTTCTCAGCTTGAGTTCCATTTCATACCTTGAGAAATATGTACAAAAGACATGCTACGATAAAGTTTATTTTCTGTGACATAATAATTATAAGCATAGTCTTAAGCAGCATTATTCATCTACGTTTTCTTAGTGCGTATCTAGATTTAACTAGAAAGGTTATGGCAAACATAAATGTTGTTGTATATTTAGAAGAATTGATTTCCTAGTGATCTTCCTACAATTGGATTTTTTTTTTTTAAATAAAATTTTTATTGGTTATCGGATATTCACCGTTTCAAAATACACATGTATCCACAGTAACAACCTTTTTTGTTTCTTTCTTTTGTTTTCTTTCTCAAATCATGCAAGACTGATCAACCATTAGTATGAAATTAAACAAAATTAAACAACGACACGTTGGTCTGCAAGTAGTTAACGAAACATACTGTACAAATAAAGCACTCTTACAAGATTAATAAATCCAATAAACCAATAAACCATTACCATTTGTATATTTCAAAATAACCTTACCAGTACTGCTGCTCATCCAACCTCCTGTAAGCAAGACCAGCCAAGATCAGGGGCTCTTCTTCAGCTCCGTACTGCATTACAATCCCCCCCTACCCCCAGGCAGTCTGGGAACTTGTTTACATGTTTGTAAGTGGTTTGAGTTGACTACCTGAGAATGCAAGCAATATACAACCCCGTCATGTGTCTAATGTGAAGGGACTCCAGCACTCCCAGTTAGCAAGGATGCACTCTCGACCGGTGACCGAAGACCTCCCGTCCTATCCAATGCTTTCTTTTTGCTAATCTGTATAATGAAGGTATATTTCTCTGCAGCTATTTCAAGTGCTCTGTTTGATGTTTCCAACTTTCCAGTGTACTTTGACACATTTGTTGCAGGAAAGGGTTATCACCCATAAATATATATTGCCCTATTCTGACTTGCATTGTACTTATATGAGTTTGAGTGAAATATACAGAAATTATCATGTTAATTTTCCACAAAATGTTGGACATGAAGCTTGTGTGTTTCTTTAGAAAGTGTGTCACACACATGTATAGCCCTCCACTTATAAACATCCACATACTACGATTGTCACGTTTCATGCAATAAATTAAGGAGTGCTGATTATATACAATAACATAAGTCTTACTTGTTTTTGAAGTCATCTACTTCCAGACGGGCATTGCCTATCTGGAGTAAAGCCCTTGAATTTTCCACAGTGCTAATGAAAACCTGAAAAAAATGTGTGATTATTATATATCTCTAATAAAATTATTTAGAATGGTTAGTAAAGCAATCAATCCATCTGATTCTTAAACCTTCATATTTTTATTATTTTCAGTGTTTTATAGCAGTATTTTAAATATTTATATAACTCAAACTGTATACTATGTAGAGTAAGTTCAAATTTTACAGTAAGTCATAGAGCATCTTAAAATATTCATTTGCAGTTTTTAATTTTCCCAAAAAATGAACGTTGTTCATACCTGATACTGGAGCTCCTGAATAGTTTTTAAGAAGTTGCTGAAATCAGGGGAAGCACTTGGTTGATTTCTATCATACCACTCTCGGATATTCCTCTCCAGTTGGGTGTTTTGATTCTCCAGTGAGTGCACCTTTTCTAAATAGGAGGCCAAGCGGTCATTCAACATCTGCATGGTTTCCTTTTCGTTGACACAGAACACACCACTTTTCTTCCAGCCACTCTGATTTCCAGAAGTACTAAAGTTCTTCCCGTGTCCTGAGTGTACACTCCAATGACTACTTCCTTGGCTGAAAGACAAATTTTTGGAGATTGAGATTCCTTTGCCTCCTGAACCTCCATGTACACTGGGGGCTCTGAAATTGTCTACAAGATGGACCTTATTGGAACCACTATAATTAAAAATCTGAGAATTCGCAGGATGAGACCTATGACCACCAACATGGCAGCTTCCCTTGTAAGATCCAGTGGAACAATGAGACTGTTTAGCACCGTGGCTCATCTTGACAGGGATGGAGAAGTCCAACGAAATGTTAAGTTAGTGTTGAACAACTGGAAGTGCTTTGACTTATGTTCTCCATTGAGTTCATGCTTTTTTATATGAATTGTGAGGGGTGGTGCATGCTACTCGGTCTTTTGGGGGGGATTTTAATAAGCATCGACATTTGTTAAATTATTGCTTCATGTATCTTATATAAGGATTCAACATAAAAGTCTTTTCAGTTAACTGAAACACATCACAAGGCAAGAAGAAAGGTGCTTCAAAAAATGTAACCATATAAATTATTCAGCTATGTACTACACCCACATAATATAATTTGTCAAAATAAATGAATGGCTTCAACAATCCTGCAATAAAGCTTTCAAGTACTTAGTTCTGCAGTTACATGATCACAACATTTTGTATGGGCCAATTAAAAAACACAAAAATGAAAGAAAGAAAGATGTTGAAAATACACAAAAAGGAAACGTATCACAACATAAATACACATATACAAAGTGAAAAGCCCACTAGAGGTGTGTCACTCTCAAAAACAACCCACATATTGATGATTCTTAGAAGATATGTATTACAGCTGCATTTTACAACTATATTGTACAGCGCTATGGAATTTGTTGGCGCTATATAAATAATAAAATAATAATAATAATATATTTTCCAAGAAATAGTTTTCTAAAAATGGTTTCTCCATACAGTTATTGTGGAGTACATCTATGTGGATGGGTGTTTAACCCAAAGAGTCAGAACAGGCCTTGGAATTGATCTAAAAGGAAGGAGGACTTTAGATGTGATAACTGGATCATGCATTACAGTATCAAACATACTTAAATACAACTCTTTAACAAAAATCAAAAAAAAGTCCCTATATTTACCATAAAATATGCGCAGAATATATATTAAATCATTCTTTTTTTTTACCACTGTATAGAGTTGGAATGCACATTTTAATGTACAAAGGCCATGTTTCCTGCAGGGATGCGCATCAATTTCAAAATGTTAATCAATGTTATTATTATTATTATTATTTATATAGTACCAACAAGTTCCGCACCGCTGTACAGTGGGTAGACTTATAAACATGTAGTTGTAACCAGACGAGTTGGACGCACAGGAACAGAGGGATTGAGGGCCCTGCTCAATGAGCTTACATGCTAGAGGGAGTGGGGTAAAATGACACAAAAGGTAAGGGTAGAAGGGTAGGAGTAGAGAAGTAGATTGGTAAAATAGTATTCACTGAAGGCTTAGTGTGTTTTTTTTAATGACTGTTTTAGGAGAGGCTATTCACATTTTAGTTGCTATGCTTTTCTTAACAAGTGAGTTTTCAATTATTTTTTTAAGGAGTGGAGACTGGGTGAATGTCTAATGGAGAAGGGAAGTGAGTTCCAAAGGAACGGTGCAGCCCTAGAGAAGTCTTTAAGGCGAGCATCAGAGCTGGGAGTACAACCAGAGGATAGACATCGTTCTTCGGTAGATACTGGTTTAAATTTCTTTCATTCGCATGTACCGCTTTGCTTTCATCTTACTACTGTTCTTCCTGTGCTCCAATGACAGTTTAATGTTTTGTGCAGTCACGTGATTGCATACTGTCCTGTGCTAATGCGTTCCACCACAATGTTTGTATGCATTCCACCGATTTGAGAACGATCTTCTGGCTAATATTGAAAGCCACAGCACTCGGGGCAATAGATATTACCCCAACTTAACAGCAATAATAAATCCTCAGATGTTACAATAAATACAAAATCTAAAGTAACCACTTTCTATATACATTGTTATAATGTAGATAATATTATACATATAATGCAAAATCTCACATCAGAATGAGACCCAGGGATGTATATCCAATAGCATATATATAATACAGTCACAAGGTAGTGGCGTCCGAGCAGAGGGGAACGAGGAGACGAAAGATACAAGTTTATAACAGGAACTCTTACTGCAGGCTAATAGGAAATTGAAGGTTGTAGGCCTCTACCTGGGAAGTCTCTAAAGCAGAGGGACAGAATAGATATATGCAGAGAAAATAAGCTGCAGTACTGGAAATAAATCCTCTGCATTACTGGAAACCATCCTGTGATGTAAAAAGAACGGAAAATGCCAACAGCAAGTATAAAAAAAAATGGTGATGGGATTCTACAAAGATATCTTTGTGATGTAATTTGAAAACATATAACAGCTTCATCTGTATATAAATGAGAGAAAGTGAAAGGTTAAAAAATTGCTTAACTATACATGTGAAAAATCTAAATACGCCTTGCTTAGAGAAAAAAAGGGAAGAGGGGGAACGAAGAAGGGGAAGGAGGATAAGGGAAAATGAAATAAAAAGGAAAGAAAGGGGAAAAAGAAGAAAAAGGAAAAGGCAGTTGCAAACATACTATAAAAATTGTGATAAATAAAAAATGTATACCTAAACCAAAACAAAAATCTAAGGATGATGACAATTGCAGAAGCCTGAGATTGGAACTACATTAGTTTTTATGAACTAAAAACGAGAATGTGACGTAAAAAGGGAACACAAAAGGAAAAAGGGGAAAAAAAAGAAACAAAGAGAGAAAAAGAAAAAAAGAAAAAGGGGCTGGTGAACTAAGTGGTGAAAATGGCTACTGCAAAGATTCCAAAGGAGAGCAAACAAGATAAACAAATGTCTGCCTTTTTCTCTCCCCCAAAATAAACAAGGAGTTGATCATTCACTTTCAGAAGAATGTCTAATGGAGGAGAGAAGAAACTCTTTGTCTAATTTACAAGAATTTATTAAAATAAATCTGGAAAATCAAACAGTAACATTCAAAAAGGAAATAAGTAATAGTACATGTCAATTAAAACAACAAACATAAGAGATGGGTATGAAACTAACTCAAATGGAAGAAAACTACGAAAAAAAATAAAAAATTCCAGTATAAAGCAGCAATTGAGGAGCAAGAAAGAATGAAGATGGATATTAATAACTTAGAACACAGATTAAAGAATAAAAAATATCAGACTAAAAAATATATCCAAGGACATTACCCATGAGAAGATAAAATAATTTTTATTGGAATTTTTGGCAGCACTAAATATCAACCTACAAAATGAGGACACTAAAAGTAATATGGAGCAAGTCACATAAATAAGTGTCACAAGAGAATGACGAAGAAACACAGAGGACTATGATAAAGGACTTTTTTATTCAACATATATAAATATAGATTGGGGATAATGTATATGGTGAATAGATGTGTGAATATAAGTGAATTACACGATATAGAGTGTTATCAGCACAGATGTAAAGAAAGGAAAAGAAAGAGAGAAAAAGAGAAAGGAAAATGGAATTATATAAAGGAAAAAGAAAAAGTCACACGTTTACACAAAAAAAGAGAGAATACAAAATATATAGCACGTTTAGTTTATGTGAGAAGAGAAAACTAGATTATGATATGAGATGTACGAAGAAGTTATACAGGTATCTCTTGAGAAGAAAAAAAGGAGAGGAGTTGCTTTCATCTTCTCAAAAATAGCTTAATAAAGAGATAATATACACAGAGGTAGATAACGAAGGAAGATATCAAATCCTAGTTTGTAAGATAGACTCTGTAAAATACACTTTTGTAAACCTCTATCTGCCAAATGTATTACCAACAAAGTATATAAAAAAGGTAATGGATAGAGTAGAGTAGAAAAGTTTAAATGGGAATGTTATTACAGGGGACTTTAATTTAGTCCCGGATACGGTATTTGATTAAAAAACAAAAACTAAAGGTAATAGAAAAATAAGTAACCAATGAAAGAAACAATCTAACATTCTAAGAAATATTATGAAAGAAAATAACTTGTTGGATATCGATGGTCAGCACCTCACCCATACACATAGCACTACACACAACACATACGACACACACAAACAATGCATACAGCCCCCTCACACAAGCACTCCCATATACAGCCCACATACATGCATAACACACACAATAAATCAAACTGCTCGTTCGCATACACAATAATAAGCACAGCAAACATATACACACATACAACCTCTTGAAGCCGACATAGCACCTATACAAAACACATTTCAGAATACAGCAACATACACTTGTTAATAAAAAAAATAGGGCTGACACTCTAAGGGACTTCATAGTCTTGTTTTTGCAAAGTTTTAAAAGTTTACTTTCCCGTCTTTTATGGCAAACAAACAGAAAGCACATATCCCCTTGTCGTATCAGAGAAGGTCATATAATTAATGGTGATAGCTGTAAAGATAAGAATGAAGGGAGTCCGATACAGCTATTCTATTACAACTTCTACCAAAATGCAGATAGAAAAAGTTGTTATGAAATTCAGTGTCCATTAGAAAAAGAAAAAAAGCATTAAATTATGGCAGTTCTCTGTTTTAAAGGATTTCTATGCTTACCAGTAACACGTCATTAAGGAATAACGCTTTGATGGCCTAATAATTAAATAGATCAAGGTGTGGAAAATGTTTTCTATTTAATATATAACATTAGACATCAACATATAGCAAACATTTCTATGTTAGTATAAGAAACAAACATGTCCAGTTTCTGTGATGTTTTCATAATTACGGTGAATGTTCTTTCAAAACAACATTTATCCTTCAAATTGCTCTCACAGCCAATTGAACGCCCATGCAATCAGGGAAATTGATCTGTCATCTTTCTCACTCGCTTCACGTCCACACACTATAAAAAGAGACCCGGTAACATTATACTTCACTTGTCATACCAGCGACATTGCAACTTTTTTTCCATTATGCCTCAAAGTCAACACAAGCACCTTCAGTCCTTCCATGGACTATTCAGGGCAAGCAGCCATAGCAATGGCCATTCTTCAAAAATTCCAAACTATGCCTCAACTATCCATCATGGAGATTTCTACAATGTGCATCATCAAGGACTCCATAAGTTCCACCATGGCACTCCATCTGTTCATTCAGGTTCAGCTAAATTAAATGTCTTCTCTAAACTGTCATCTTATGGTCACGGATATGATTCTGGAAAACATCTAAGCCACAATCATGAAAGTAGCTTTAGCAGTTTTTCGAGTCACAGTGGCCACAGTGGTTGGAAGAATGATGGCTTGCTCAATGTTAATGAGAAGGAAACCATGCAACTCCTTAACGAGAGACTGGCATCTTACCTGGAAAAGGTCCGCTCACTGGAACAGGAAAATGCTAACTTGGAAAAGAAGATCTGTGAATGGTATGAAAAATATTCACATGAAGTTCTACCTGACTTCGAACATTATTATAAAACTATTGGAGAACTTCAGAGTAAGGTATGCTTTGAAAATATGTATGCTTTTTAGCAGGGGTAGGTAACTTTTGTCATTTCAGATATTGTGGACTACATGTCCCATAATGCTTTTTTTACAGCCATAATACTGGCAAAGCATCAGGGGAGATGTAGTCTACAATATCTGGAGTACCAAAGGTTGCCTACCCCTGATGTATAGTAATCTGTCCATGTTAAAATAATAACTGGTTAACAATGTTTTGTTCTGATAATATTGTTGCAGATTACAGCATCCAAAGTGGAAAATGCAAGAATTGTCCTAGAGATAGACAATGCAGGATTGGCTGCTGATGACTTCAGAAACAAGTAAGTAGCTGGGCATACTCAAAAATGGAGAGACTATTAAACGCTAATACATACTAGTTAGTATGCAAAAGGTAGAGTGCAGATATTCAAATCTACAGAAAATGACTCAATATATAAAAGAAATTCTAGTACATTTCCTACATAGATGTATTTCTACAAGGACGTCTATATCTGTCTGTCACGGACGTAGGCTGCCAAGATAGTGGGGAAAGTGTGGAAGTGAAAGGGTTAATGACATCAGATCCCTGGTTACCTGTTGCTAGTCCAAGCAACCACTAAATTAACCCCTGCAATGCCTCCTACACTAACACCCTAGTACACAATTTACTGCCACCACCAAGACTTTATATCTGGGTGTCTTAGGTTACCCCACACACAGTAGAGTTATAGTATTACAACCTTACTTTACTGATCAGACATATTTAATTAACCCTTTGGTAATGTGTTTACCTGAGCTTTCCTCAGGAGAGTCAACTCATAGAGAACAAAGACACAAGCTGATTAAGTAAACATTTGATCCGACAATAATGATTCACAGTGCTGTACAAAAATACACAAAAAATGATATACAGAAACACAGATAACAAATTGCAAAACAGTCCATAAAATAAAATAGGAGAACACGAGAAATCCTTACATATATTTATTGATTATATATCATTCTTGTGGGAGGTTTAGATGTTAAAATTCTCCAAGCAGATATTAAAAAGAAAATCTCTCCTTGGATAATCCAACATTCTCATTATATAGCTCAAGCTGGTTGTTTCTAAGTGGCCATACCCCTGGGTGGATCAGAGGAGTTTGGCCTCACAGTTTATTGTCCACTCTATTAAACTGTCCAGGGCACTAGTGTGGATTTACCAGTAAACCAAAATGTGCCATTTACAGTATACCTCTACAATTACATCACATTCCTCCAATTCTTGTGAGTTTTTAGAGATCAAACGTGCTAACTTTAACTCCTTGGTAAGTATCCATTCTGGTTTCCCATAGCAGGCCCATCTTCCACTTGGCATGTTTGGTACCAAACAAATGGATATAACCTGGGCAATCTGAAAATATATTCATATTGGGCCTTCTCATAATATATATATACATGTTCTCAATATTTCCTTACATGATGTTGTCCTTTGAAAAACCCAAAGTCAGAGTATATGCACCAATACCTTTTATGATGCCCTATGTCCAACTCTGGTGATGGTTATCTAGAATTTACATTTTATGGCTTAGGCCTGGTGTTAGATCACAGCCTACAATAAATGTTATCCCGGCATGTACAACTCATAACCCAAAAATCATGCTTTGGCATGACACCATCCAAAAGTAAAAACTGAATATTTTTCACTGTTATAGCTCTTTTGTCAAAATTAAAAGAAGCAGATAAATGTCTCATTTATACATTTATGCCCTTTATTTAATAAAGATAACAAAAAGTGAAACGTTGGCAAAGAGAGAAAAGAGAAAATACTAAATAATCAAAAACTATAAAATGTGAAAAAAATTCCAAGGAGGTCTTAAATAAGAGTTTCCTATTTAACATAATGGATTTAATAGATGCTGTACCACATTAAACCAAAGGGTGGCTCTGCCTTATTGTATACATAGGATAACTACGGTATGGATATAATAGTACCAAACAGATAGAAATGTATTCTACAATGCTTTCTCCTGGAATTTCTGGATTACATATATTACGTTACAGATATGAATTATAATATTAAGTTACAGGTCTGAAAAGTGGTAATGGTGTTCACTAGATTTGTGTACGGTGAAAAAAATTCAGTTTGACCAAATCATTTTTTTCAAAAATTTTATTTAGCTTGGGATCTTGACGATTTGGCTCATCCAAATATCGTCCATGAAAATTTTTTAGGAAAATGATTGAGATGAACAAAATATTGTACGGAAATTTGCCAATCACTGTACTGCTGATATATACATAATATATTGATTCTAAGATCAAGTAAGAAAAAGTCACATTTATTATTTAATATGTTAGATTTATTTGTTTATTTGAATGCTCCCTTTTTTATGCTATTGGTTACTTCTTACTTGATCTGTGAATAAAATCCACATTTAATGGCTGCCCTCCAGGATGTTTTTGCTTGGTTATATGTTCATATGGCACTTTAGAGATATGGAATTCGGCCAAACCAACAATCAGCCTCAATTCTTATGAATTGCAATTCAGCTGAAATCAAATGCACACGTTTAGTGCTTATGTTTAATTTAACTGAGGAGAAAATTTAATTCTTGATGTCCCCATGCTTATTGTCTTCGTGATTAACTACATATTTTTTTATTAGTCAAACATTTTAAAAAATAACTTTGAAAAACAAATTAGGTTTCAATTGTGCATTCTGGATTGCTTGTGTTAATATAGGTATGAGATGGAATGTACGCTGAGGAGCAACATTGAAGCAGATGTGAATGGTCTTCGTAGAATTCTAGAAGGACTAGCCATTGAGAGAAATGACCTAGAGATGCAAGTTCAGAACCTTCAGGAAGAACTACAGCAGATGAAGAAAACTCATGAAGAGGTATTTACCACGAAATACTAAGTGAATATGATATAGTCTGTAGTAAAAAAATGCACTTCTCATATATACCTTATGACAATGCAGGAAGTGACGAGTTTACGTACTCAGCTGGGAGCCAGGATCAATGTGCAAGTGGATGCTGCCCCATCTGTGGATCTTAATAGAGCTCTGTCTGATGTCCGGGAACAGTATGAAAACTTGATGGAGAGAAATCTGAGGGAGGTTGAGAGCATGTTTCTTACAAGGGTAAGATAGAATATTAAAGCAAATTCAGTTTCAATAGTATGTATTAATGGATAAGTCCCATATTTTTTTTTACATATATTTTAATGGTTAACAATTTGCTCCGACAGAGTGAAGAGTTGAATCGTCAGGTGGAATCTGGTTCAGAGCAGCTACAGTCTGTCCAGACGGATCTCATTGATTTAAAACGTTGTATACAAACTCTGGGGATTGAACTGAAGAGCCAGCAGAGCCTGGTATGATTTGGCATCCTCTCTACCTACCCTAGTGTTTATGTATATTAATAGATAATCAACAGAATGATTGGTTTAATGCATCACTTTAAATAAAGTAGACCTTGAAGTTCAACTATACGCCTAGTTGAGTGACCTGAACTATGGATATACTTTTGTGTTCCTAAGATATCCTCCTTCCAATAGACAGAAATATAACAATTGCATTGTTAGTTATAGCCTAGTTTAATATTCTGGAAATATTTATTTGACTTATGTCACTTTAGTTTCATTATCTTCAATTTCTACCTTTGTTTCATCCCTTAATTCCAGAAATCAGCTCTTGAGCGCACCTTGGCTGAGACAGAGGGAAGCTTCCAATCTCAGCTCAATCAGTTACAACATATGATAGACAATGTGGAAGAACAACTAGTTCAAACACGATCTGATCTAGAACGTCAAATTCATGAATATAAAATACTAATGAATCACAAGGCACTTCTGGAGATGGAGATCGCCACTTATAAATCCCTGATGGAGGGTCATGACATACAGTATGTATATTGTGGGCAATTAATTAAATAAATTCACAGTAGACAAGTATTAGATGAATGGAGGACTGTGTACCGTTATTATTATTTATATTAAATTGCACAAGGTATAAGTCCAGAAAATATTCTGTAACCCTTAAATAGGTGTAGTTCAATCTAGAAATTAAAGTCAAATTGCTCAATATTTAGTTACAGATAATGCACATTTATGGAATTCATGCTATTATAAGTAGTGCCATAGTAAGTGTGAGCATTTTGTGGTATAGAATAGATTATGTTATATTTCACATAAAAATAGAGATGTTGTGTGATAAGATAGCCAATGGTTTAGAGTTATTCTCTATAATGGGAACTGTGTAGAATTGAAATTAATATTGCAAAGTTTTAGCCAAATAAGTAAATTGGATATTTTTTAATTCGACTATTATGACTTACATTTTTCAACTATATTGTCAGTTCTGCATAATTCCCAATTTAGTGATTAAAGGGACACTGTAGGCAATTTTTCTGCATCAACTCATTAACCTGGTTATTGTATCTGGAATACTCCAAGGTCATCCTATCATTAAACAGTTAACTGCGTTAAACGGTTTTTAATGTTTTTATGTTTTAATACTAAATGAGAGTTCCCAGCAGCCCAACCCTTCTGTGCTGCTTTGACTAATGAGGAAGTATTAGCGTGAGCAGCAATGGACAGCTGTGATTGGGTAAGAGTGTCAGCTGACTGATGTTAGCCTATCAGATCTCCCATTGTAAATACGAATTGGTATAGATACAAGGAAGTGTGTAATCAAGGCCTTAGCCACACCTCTAGTTTTTGCCAGGGACCTTTATTTTTTGTTAAACTACTTAAAAATGGTTTGTTTAACATTGAATGTAGGGACAGTGTCAGATGACTCCACGGACTATAATCATTTCAAAGAGATGAAATGGTTATAGTCACTGCAGTGTCCCTTTAACCACCATTACTTCAAGAACTGTCAATCAATAAATTGAATTTGCATACCCTTAGAGAAAGTAACGACATCTTTGACACCATCAAAACAATGGGGGCTAACTATAAAAGTGTTGTGTTCTCATGAGTATTCAAAACTACTAAAAGTGGCCATGGAAACCAGTGGAATCATCAGGCACTTTGCATTGATGAATGCTCCCCTTTTCCTTATTTGTACCACTTTTCAGAACAAACATACTTTATTGCTAAAAATTGCTTTAATACAATACAAAATTAGTGATACAATTGCAGTGCTAATTGGTGGTCCTTTAACCCCTTAAGGACCAAACTTCTGGAATAAAAGGGAATCGTGACATGTCACACATTTCATGGGTCCTTAAGGGCTTAAGGTCTGATTTAAGATGCTCTTTAAATATTTGTGACTTGTAAGATGTTTTATTTCCTTGCAGCGTCCCAGAAAACAAACACAAAATGATGAAAGAAAGTAAGTACTTATATTATGCAATGATAGGTTATTACAGTAAAGTCACAGAGCTGTTTTTAGCTACAAAGCACTTCAGCTTTTCAAGTACACACAATAAATACTATGAATATAATATTAATGTTTTCAAATACTTTAACATTTTTTATTTTTTTTTAAGTTGTGAAATCTTTTTAAGTCAAGATGTTTGTGAAGAATTACACATTACATTCTCTAGGTTTAAGTGTGCAGGCAAGTAGTTAAAGGCAAAAGGACATTAATAAAATAAACAGCATTCAGAACATATACATCCTAATGCTTTATGACAAGATGTAAGTACAGACAGAAAAGTCGCATAAAAGTTTGATGCGTAAACATTGCTGAGTAAAGAGCAATATTCGTTATTTCATTACGTGTTAGCTATTTTCCTGTTATTCTGGAATGGTTTTGAATATGAAATATATAGTTTAAGGTGAACTCTAAACACTATAACCACTGTAACCCAGTGTAGTGGTTATGGTGCAAAAAGGCTATAGGCGCTGCTTGGAGTAGTTTGACAAAAGGCAGGGCTCTTCGCATAGCCTGAACCTTCTCCAGATGGACTGATAAGGTTTTTATCGACAATGCAATATTATTAATGGTAATTCTATCCTACCTGGATGGAAATTATCGGCTGAGAGTAGTGAGAAAAACAGTGTTCTCAGCCAATCAGCCAATCAGAAATTATATTCATAATGCTGAAGTCTAAATTTGGAGATATTAGTACAGCTGTATACTGGGTGAGTAATTGGTGCTGGGAAGAGCCCTATTTCTTTTTGTTAAAAATGGTTTGACAAAAAAGTGGGACAGGGCCCTTAGCCTTTTTGTACAATAATCACTACATTGAGCTATAATGGTTATGGTACCTAGACTGTCTCTTTAAGTACACATAATTTAGAGCGTTAACTCTTATCTCCAGGGTCCTACATGTTCAGAGGCGTAACTAGACAATTGGCCTGGGGACCCTCCCATACGTCTACCCCCGCAATCCCTCCATACATCTATCCTCCCCCTTCCATACGCCCCCCCACACACATGCAGACAAACAGATACACATACAGGCACACACATAGACACACACACACACACACACATATGCAGAGACACACACATACATACAGGCTCACATACATACAAACACACACACATACATACAAACACACACACACACACATACTAACACACATACATACATACATACATACATACAGACACATACATACAAACACACACACATATACAGACACATAGACAGACATACACACACACACAACTACATACAGACACACACATACAAACACACATACACACACACACACACACAAACACACAGACACAGACAGACAGACTTGGGCCACCCGATGGACCCCTTCGGCCAGGGCCGCGTTACATAGCCGGCAGGTACCGCAGTCGCAGGGGTCCGCAGGGCAGCCGAAGCCCCTGGAGTGATGGGCCTGGTTGCAGCTGCAACCCCTGCTACCGCGGTAGTTCCGCCACTGTACATGTTTTAGATTGCATCTCGATGAATACAGGTGGAATACAAAAATACTTTACTTTTAACGTGTGAAATGGCTGCTCAGGAATATGGGTTTTATTAGACTTCAGTTTCAAACCTACTATATGTCTTTGTTTTTCTTTTTTGTAGTGTCCATTAGCAATGCAAAGCAGCATGTGACTACCCACCATGATCTTGAACATGAGAAAGCTGTGCCTTCTCCAGAGCATGAAATGCAGAACAAGTGATAACGCAAAAGACATTTAAGCTTGCGTAGAATAGATAGATGATACAAAGCATTGCTTAAAGATGAAATTAGTACATCCATGTTGAGTCTTTTGTTTCACTCTCCAGCTAACCTTTACTTACTCTGTAGAATCTGTCAAACAATATGGACTGCAAGCAACTGCATTGGGTAAAAAATCTTTAGTGTGGGAATCGATTCTGTTTTGGGTTTTCATTTAAATAAAAACTACAACACAGCTGAAGCTTCTTAAAGTGATTTCAAAAACTTTGATATTTAGGAGGGATATCAGTTTGTATATCAAATCTAGTGATGCAATCTCTTGCTCTATTAATGGACCGCTAGAACCTGCCACAGGCTCTTGTGTGTGATTAAAGTTCAACTAACAATCTTCTAAAGTAAACACACTGTGCTGAAGAGATGATTTAAAAGGATACCATTTTTTTTTTCATGCAGACTGTGTGGGTCACCGCCAGGGGAGGAGTAGCTAGTATTGCATAAACAGAAACAATGGTGATTTTACTCCTAAATGGCAAAATAGGAGTACTGTGCAGTGAGACTTCATGGGCATGATCTATACACCAAAACTGCTTCATTAAACTAAAGTTGTTTTGGTTCTTAGAGTGTCCCTTGAAACATGTATTAGGTATTCAAAATAAGTTATTAGACTATTAAACAGTGATTATCTATCTGATAAAATGCACCTTAAAGGGACACTATAATAACCAGAACAACAAAAGCCTAATGTAGTTTTTCTGGTGTGTAGAGGCTCCAGTAAGTGTTTTTAAATTACTGCCCAGTCACACCTCTAGTGGCAGAATGTTCATGCCATAAACTTAGTAAATGCTACATTAGATATGACCACCATAAAGTGGTATTATGGCCATGCAGCAGTCCATATCCATGTGAGCCCTCATTCATGTTCTACAAGCTGTGTCAGAGTCAGATTTAACATGGCATGTGCAAAATGTAAATTAAATAATGAATAGAAGCAAATTAAAGAAAACAAAAAGCATGGGTGTCAGATGAAGCAAGGGACTAGAAGCAACTCTCCATTAAGTCACAAATCATATATGTAAAAACTTGCGGTTTTGATTTAAATAGGGAAGGTCGTCTGAAAAAAAATGCCTGTTTGTCTGTAGAGCTGAGTGAAAGAGTTAAGTAATCAGGTGATTAAAGAAAGAGCTAACTCAGCCCCCAAAAAATTATTTTTAGACAGACAGACAGATAGATAGACAGATAGATAGATAGATAGACAGACAGACAGACAGACAGATAGATATATATACTAGCACTCTGGGTTTCCAAATAACGTCCTTACTTTATTAAAATACAAAATTCCATAGATTGACATTTCACTTCCAATACGGAACTTTCCATATATCTATGACATGAAATAAATATATTATAGAAAATTCCACAAGTAATTTGATTCGGGGGATAGAAAACTACGAAAAAGGTTTGGATGTTTTTTTCAAATAAATGGATGACATTGTGAAGTTAAACTAATGGGCCGACCATAAAAGTGTAAGAAAATGGTGATGGATGGTTGAAGTGAATTAGCCAATCAGAAGGCAGCATATCTGTAAAACATTTTTTATAGGTTCCAAACCTTTTTTTTTTGTCTGTTTTTTTTTTTAAATCTGCCTGCTAATACCAGTCATCGTTAATGTCCTAACGTTAATGTATTAGTTTAACCCCACACTACTCCTCTCTACCATTTTGATTGACAGTGACAATGTGGCGTAGGATGGTATCTAGTGTTTCCTAAATAATTTAAATCAAATCTGGCTGGAGAGTATCCAGAAATTATTAGCAACATGATCTGAATTATAGCAGCTACGTTACTTTGAGTATCCCTTTGAATATATCCAGTAATATGCCTCACTGTTTTTTAAATATATGTACACCTCAATTTACCCAGCATATGTTCCTCTTCAATAGGTAATAAGGGCTGTACAAATAGAAGAAAAGATCAACCACTTTGATCTCTGTACATTATTAAACGTAGCCACTTTACAGGAGCTTTTGTATTGCTTGATAAATCATAATTCAAAGGATCTTAAATGGTGTCACATTCTTGGTTCTCTATGCCAGTGTTTATCAACCTTTTATGAAGAAGTACCCCTCCAGGTCTAACACAAATTCCTAAATGTAGACACTGATATTTAAGTTAATCTCATATTATTGTTAAAATAAATATGAAATAATGTGAATATTGTGTATTTAAGGAGGAGTGAACTAATAATCTGAAGTAAAAAAGTCACAAAATTCAAATATAATACACACATAATAGGTACACACAGAGGACACTGACACACACACATTTACACATGGAGGACACTGACACTTAGTTACACACAGAGGACACTGACACACATTTACACACAGAGGACACTGACACATATTTACACACAGATTACACTGACACACACACATTTACACACAGAGGACACTGACACACACAGGATACGGACATACAAACACACACACACACACAGAGGACACTGACCCACACGCATTTACACCCAGAGAACACTATCACACACAGTTGCATACAGAGGATATGACACACACATATGTACACACACATATGTACACACACATATGACACTGACACACACACAGATGACACTAACACACACATACACACATAGTAAATGATACATACACACACATTTACACACAAATGACACTGACACATACACACACATTTACACACAGAGGACACTGACACACATATGCACATCTACACATGGAGGACACTGACACACACACTCACTGACAGACACACTCTCACTGATTTGAAACACACTGAAAGCCACACCTACTGACACACCACACATATTCAATGACACACACTCTTACTGACACACACATTCACCTTCAGAGCGTCACACTCACTGATAGTCCCATTCACTGATTTGACACACACTAACAGACACACTCTCACTGATATTTGACCAACACTGACTAGACACACATTAAAAAAAGAAAAATAAGAAGGTCACTTTTGACTTGATCAGGTTGCCCCTTTGAGAGTTTAGGCAACAATAATTTTTGGTTGCTGTTTCCAATATTTTCTTTTTTTTTTTTTTTTTATATGACAATTGTAGCATTGATTGAATAGCATTGTTTTCTTTTCAGACACCTGTTGCAGTTACCTACTAATGAGGATAACGTTATTGTTGGTTGATGCGCAGTCTTTTAATAATACATTCTTTGAAGTAAATTAAGTTCTTTGATGTGGATATTTTAACTAGTCAATTCAATCTAGTTCTAGCATGAGAAGGGAAACTATTCTGCCTTATTAAGTATGCTGTCTCAGATATACCACTTTTTAATTCCCTGAAAGCAGTGTATACGTGAAGTACCACTAAACATGACTAATAAAAATTAATAAGAAAAACATCCATGCACTATGCTATGCAAATTAAAAGCAAATCTATAGTTAAACACATTTAAAATTTTATTAACCAAATGCTTTTCATGTATACCATGTTTTTATACCCCAGGTATTGATGTAGCTAGAGATGAGGTATGTAAGATCAGAATGGTTTCAGTCATTTTGAAGTTGTATGCTACAGCAATACTTTCGTACACTTTATCTTCGTTATCTTGTTTTCTTGTTTTGTAGTTTTATAGTTATGAGATAAACAATACTGTGATGGACTGCCTGGCACCCTGACTGGGTACCTCTGTCAAGCTCGCTCCCTAACTCTTCTCTGGGACACAGGAGTGCTTCTACCCCTAGCTGCTGCAGGTTGGCTGGGGTCTCTCCATCGCTTCCCATCCTGGAACAGCTTCAGGTGATTTAGTTCTCCTGCAGAGAGTATAGCTGATCCACCCAAACACTAGCCTAGACTGAGTGAAGGGTGTAAAGGAATTGGTTTATTATGGACAAGTTGCCTGCTTTATACACAGCCTTCAGCATGGGTCTCCATTTAATATAAGACAAGCCCCTCCCATAAATTGCTGTGCCTGGGAGATAATTGCATTAAAGACCAGTGTTTTTCCTCTGTTGTTTCGTGTGGTTCCTCTTTGGCCGTTTGGGAGACTCTATACGAACAGAATCCCTTCGTCTCCCGAACGAGGACCACACCTGTGCCCCATTAGAACGTTGACACCAACCACTTAAGTGCGAAACCGCAAAGGGAAACAATTAATGAGTGCTTCCCCTGCATGGCCACCATTTTGAATAACTGAACACGTGGTAGAGAGAATGATGGCCATCTTGTCTCCCGAACGTGGGTAGCGGTACTTGGTTGTCGAGTGCCTGGAACTCTTTTTGGCTAGACACTCGTGCAAACACCAGTAAACCTTAGACCGCTGCCCGTTCTAGTTCCCGACCACCTACACGAACAATGTTCGGATATATGGAGATATGAACTACCGGACAGAGGGAGCATTCGTATACTGAAAATAAGAGATTCCCTTGTATGGTGTTCACACTGGAACCTCATGAACTGAGACCGGCTAGGGCAACTATTTCTCTGGAACTCAGATATGTGAGGGAGTGGAATTTTTGGTGCTTGTACTTTGCATGTGTGGCAGCTTTGGCTCCCCTAACCAGAGTCTCTTCTTTCTGGAGTTGTAGTTGATATGGAACTATTATGGGCTCGCGCCTCATGTCTGACTGGTCAAAAGTTAACCCCGGTGGCATTCCAGTTCTGCCGAACCAATCTGAGTGATTCTTGGATATGTTGGACACTCGGATTGGGGCTATTGGAGAATGTACTTTTTGTGGGGTTCCTGGGTATGGTTTAGGTATTTTTAAGGTACAGGATATTTTGTTGGATTTTCTGTACCTAGGAGATAATTAAATTAGATGAGTTTTCTCAGAAAATTATCTCTCAGACACAGAAGATCCTGGTATTGAAAACCCTGCATTATTGTATGTGAAACCCCTTGCATGGAACTGGGCATAAAAGTCATGTATGTGACAAACTTCAGTTGTACTCCCAGAACTGTGTATCGTCTAGTCTCTGGGGAGGAGGTGGGATATTCTTTGACTGTTTTATTGTTCCTAGTTATACTTTGGTGGATCCAGCGGAGAAGAGTCCCAGCTAGGACTAAGGCTCTGCTACACCCCTATGCTGCATGAATCTGAGCGCTATCTGGAGATCTCAGATCAGGGCTATTTAGGGATGTATTATGTGGAGTTATTATGCCTCCTGAGTGATGGCATACCTGAGTGATGGCACTGCCTTTACCCGACCATAGTTCTGTATATCCTCGTCAAGGACTGTGCGGCAGGCTTCCGCTGCCCTCCCTGACAGCCTGCATGGTCAACAGGGGCACCCAGTCTTCCGGACTGATCCTATGTAGGGCACATTGTCTCTCAAAGTCTTGGAGAAAGGCATCAATATCTTTTTCCGCCTCTACAAAGTTTTTAAATGCACCATAAGGTATTTTGGGCTTACCCTCTGGTACCACTGTCACTGGCTGGGTCCGTTTGGGGGTTTGCTGTTCTTTCTGTTTCAGAACAAACTTCTGGACCTCCAACATGGTTCAGGCAATAATATTGTTCAGCAGTTCTCTTTGAAAATCCGTCATCATTTCCCGTTCGTGCTGAATCGAAGCACCGTCCGTTCGGTATTCTGCCATCAGTTCGGCAATGAGGGTGGCCTTCTTTTTGTTACTTGTTGCTATCTCTCTTGCCTCCAGAAGATCCTTTAGTGTGGACCATTTCAGGTCAGATTAGTTCATCTCCATCCAGGGTCCATCTGCTACTGCTATCCACTGGCTCTTGTTTCTCTGTGGGTTCTGGATCCCGACGCTGCCAACCAAAGTAGCGGAGCCCTAGTCCTAGCAGGGACACTTGTCCACTGGATCCACCAAAGTATAACCAGGAGCAATAAAAAGCCAAAGAATATCCCACCTCCTCCCCAAAGACTGGATACACAGTTCTGGGAGTACAACTGAAGTTTATTGCCACATACATGGCTTTTATGCCCAGTCACATGCAAGGGTTTTCACATACAATAATGCAGGATTTTCAGTCCCAGGATCCTCTGTGCCTGAGAGATAATTGCCTGAGAAAACTCATCTAATTTAATTATCTCCCAGGTACAGAAAATCCAACAAAATATCCTGTACTCCAAAAGTACCTCAACCATACCCAGGAACCCCACAAAAAGTACATTCCCCAATAGATCAGGGTGGTGCAGTAGACATTGCTTACCTAGATTTCAGTAAGGCTTTTGACACTGTTGCACATAGAAGGCTTATCAATAAACTGCAATCTTTAAGTTTGGATTCCAATATTGTTGAATGGGTAAGGCAGTGGCTGAGTGACAGGCAACAGAGGGTTGTAGTCAATGGAATATATTCGAAGCTTGGACTTGTCACCAGTGGGGTACCTCAGGGATCTGTACTTGGACCCATTCTCTTTAATATTTTTATTAGTGATATTGCAGAAGGTCTTGATGGTAAGGTATGTCTTTTTGCTGATGATACTAAGATATGTAACAGGGTTGATGTTCCAGGAGGGATAAGCCAAATGACAAATGATTTAGGTAAACTAGAAAAATGGTCAGAATTGTGGCAACTGACATTTAATGTGGATAAGTGCAAGATAATGCATCTTGGACGTAAAAACCCAAGGGCAGAGTACAGAATATTTGATAGAGTCCTAACCTCAACATCTGAGGAAAAGAATTTAGGGGTGATTATTTCTGATGACTTAAAGGTAGGCAGATAATGTAAAAGAGCAGCAGGAAATGCTAGCAGAATGCTTGGTTGTATAGGGAGAGGTATTAGCAGTAGAAAGAGGGAAGCGCTCATGCCATTGTACAGAACACTGGTCAGACCTCACTTGGAGTATTCTACACAGTACTGGAGACCGTATCTTCAGAAGGATATTGATACCTTAGAGAGAGTTCAGAGAAGGGCTACTAAACTGGTTCATGGATTGCGGGATAAAACTTACCAGGAAATTTTAAAGGATCTTAACATGCATAACTTGAAGGAAAGACGAGACAGGGAGGATATGATAGAAACATTTAAATACATAAAGAGAATCAACACAGTAAAGGAGGAGACTATATTTAAAAGAAGAAAAACTACCACAACAATAGGACATAGTCTTAAATTAGAGGGACAAAGGCTTAAAAATAATATCAGGAAGTATTACTTTACTGAGAGGGTAGTGGATGCATGGAATAGCCTTCCAGCTGAAGAGGTAGAGGTTAACACAGTTAAAGAGTTTAAGCATGCATGGGATAGGCATAAGGCTATCCTAACTATAAGATAAGGCCAGGGACTAATGAAAGTATTTAGAAAATTGGGAAGACTAGATGGGAATAGTGTCTGGCGAGCGTCTATTCCGCTACAAGGGGAAACGTCACCGTGTTAAAGTTCTGACTGGCCACACACGTGGTCCTGTGCCCAAAACAGTTCCAGGGCATTTTGTGCTTTGGCATGTCAATTTTCGGGAGCTCCTGCAGCCTCAATATAGGGTGCTGTGGTCTGGGTCTCTGGTAGCGTTTGTTCCTCTTAGTCTCAGGCGCCTTCCCTCCTAGCGGATTTCAAAGTGGTTCAAAACCGCGAACCAAGTTGTCTGAAAACCACATGGTCACCTCATGCTGAAAACAGTTTCATAACATTCATGGCTAAGTCCCGCTGAAGTGCCCGGGAACCCACAAAGTCCTCATGCTGAAATTATTTCCATAGCGATCGCGGCTAAGTACCGCTGAGGACTATTCGTGGGTTTGGTTCATGCGAACGGCCACCAGAGAGCCAGCATTTGGTTTCATTCTCATGTAAGGAAAGTGCCGAACCAGGGGCACCCAGGGCAAGTTGCTAATGGCGGCTGGGGAAGTTTAACTCCCAAACAGGGTCTTTGTATATGGCCCATAGTCCTTGAGCAGGAGGCTATCTAGCAGGCTCCTTCAGGAGCTCATGGCATAGGCATGTTTGCCACAAATACATTCTGAAAGACTATGTTTGGTGTAGAAAACTTAATACAATGATTGCCTGCTTCAATGCAACTATACCTGTGACCTTTCCTCTGTTTACATAAAGGGATTCTATAGTGTTAGGAATACACGCCCCTCCCTCCCTCTTTGCCAACCCCTTTGATACATAAAGAGTTAAAAACTCTTTATTGACTTAATAGATTCCAGCATCAATGTCCCTTCGCACTGGGTTGGCTCTCCTTCAACGTCATCCAAAAGGGTCCTAATGTGCATGTGCGAAGAGCACTGCAAGCCCATTGGGCCCTATTTGCTTAAATGCTTTTCTGTAGAGATTTCACTGCAGAGTGTGAGAATGTCCAGCATCAGTTAGGCGACCTAGAATCTGGTTAAGTCCTATAAGCACCTCTAGTGGCTGTCAGTTTCTCTAAAACTGCAATGTTTTACATTGCAGGACTAAGGACAATAGGGACACTGTACCCAGACCATTTCAATGAGCTGAAGTGGTCCAAATGCCTACAGTGTCCCTTTAGCCTACCTAATGAACCTACCTGTGTATATGTACATTCTCTGTTGTCTCAAATAGAATATGTGTCTTTGTCCTCACTGAGTTTATTTTTGTGTATGCGAGGGATCCAAGGAGGGTTACTTAGGTTTTTTACTTGCACAGACAGTTGGACAGTTATAATCTCTTGAGCCATTTCATTTTGGTACCTTGTTTGGAATTTTGACTTTGTAGAGTTTAGCCAACATATGCAACAAAGAACAGTTGCTGGACTTTCATGTCACCCATTCAAGAACCAGAGCCACCCTAAAAGAGATCCCCTATATTCTATAACTCAACATCCATGACATGGAACAAATAAGTCACTTCCCAAAACAATCACAGCATAGCTTGAGTGTATCACTAAAAGGACTGTAAGATTTCACTGCAATTACAAATGTGACGCATGCTGCAAATAATTCTAACTAAATGAACACTTGTGGCACTATGAATTATACCAATTGCTGTAGTGAATGTTATTATGGGTTAAAATACATAACATAAAACAATTAACTTGCGATAAACATAATACTCACAAACTAATAAGCCAATCAGCTAAAATAGTCTGATGGGCTTTAAAAAAAAATAATAATCTTACCCTTAGCAACACGCCATGACAATTGACAATTACATTTAAAAAAACAATCAATAATAAATATTACATATGTAACATATAAATTAGATTCTTTACAAATATTTTCTTGGCGTTTTACTATTAATAAAAAAATTAATACAATTTTAAAAAATAACATAAATAAAAATCAATATAATAAATAAAACAAAAAGGGGAGATTGGTGGCACAGTGATTTAGGTTAAGCAACAACGATGCTTCCAGATTCACCAACATGGGTTACAGAAGTGCAGAGTAAACCCCCCCTTAGATATATTTGTTTTTTGCGACATTTTAGCAACTTGTGCCCAATGAACCCAGAGCCACAAGATGTTCTAAAACACAAACCTCCAGTTTCCAGGCCAATAGCCTTGCAGTAACAAGGTGTAAAGATTCTACAGCCATCCTGAAACCAGTTCGCATTAACCCTATAGTTGCCCTAACCATACAGAGCTTCATAATTTGCTTATGAACTTATAGCCCATTGCTTTTCCCATGTGATAGTTCTTACACATCAGTCTACTCTTTGGGCTAGTTTGTGGGCCCAAAGAACTTCTAACATTTGGCTTTAAATGAATTCAACATTGTGCTTAAAATCTCAAATACTTTGCATAAACATAGAATCTCCCAAAAACAAGGTTTTTATATTTTCTAATATCATTTATGCAGGTGGCGTGCCTTTACTAACGCAAGGCATTTGCAAGAATACTTGGAAACAGCACATTTTGGTATTTAAAGATCTAAATTATCTGCCACTTTCCTTTCATGCTTCAATGATGCTGCATTTCAATGTTTTTAAGGTGTGGTAATGACTATAGAGCTTTGCTATAAATCTGGAAGCACTCCCTCCTCCCTGTGATCTTTTTTAGGGAAACCAACAAATGTCTCTCATATGAGAAAGATCAACAATACAATGAAAAGAAATAAAATGTCTGTGAATGCCCAATAAAATTATTTTATTTTCTTCAACGCCCGCTGAACTACATATAAAAGAGGAACCACAGGCAGTGAGCATTTGTACATCAATTGACATTGTAATCTATACAGCCAATTGTCTCCCATCTCTTCTTCAACATGAGCCACGGAATAAAGTCAACATCAGGATCCCTGAAAGGAACCAGTCATGTTGGTGGCCACTGTTCCAAGATTTCAAGCCATGTGTCTACCGTTCATCATGGAGGATCTCATAAAGTCATTCATGGAGGCTCACATAAAGTACACAGTGGAGGATCAAACCTGTCTCTCGGAGGATTAAATTTAGGACATCATAGTGGTCACTTCAGAGCCCCAAGTGTCCATGGTGGATCAGGAGGTAAAGGTATCTCTATTTCCAAACACAGCCATGGGCATAGCTCTGGAAGTCTACATGGTGGAAATAGTCATGGTGGCCATTTTAGCAGCTTCGCAAGCCATGGTGGTTGGAAGAATGATGGGATGTTCAGTGTTAATGAGAAAGAAACCATGCAGCTTCTGAATGATCGACTGGCTTCCTATCTGGAGAAAGTACGCTCACTTGAGCAAGAAAATGCCCAACTGGAGAGGAATATCCGAGAGTGGTATGAGAAACATCAACCCAGTGCTTTCCCTGACTTCAGCAACTTCTTTAGAACCATTCAGGACCTTCAGTGTCAGGTGAGATAAAATTTAAATGTTTGCGCTTAAAATATTTATTAAACACATATTAAACAAATAAGTACAAATAAATATACTGGAATCACAATCTAGACATTAAATGAACTAGTCTAACTTTAACTGTGATGTTTATGTATTGTATGATGTTCTTTAAAGATCTACAATGGAATCCACCAAAAATATACAATTTAGAAGATATACCCAAAGTAAAATCTGCAAGTATTATGTTTCAGCCCAAATATGTATAGTGTTTAAAGTCAACAGGAGAGATCCTTGGGGCAGTGAAAATATCATAATTTCTGGGGAAGTACACACTTTGCATTTGGGTAGTTTTATTACTCATTATAGATCCCCAAAATGTATTGCAGCACCATGTATGCGGTTTATTTTATTGTTATGTAAATATGTATTTGGTTAATTGTCCATTACTTACATTGTGTTGCATAGATCACAAGCTTTACATCATGTTTAATAAATGTATTTTTTCAAACCTGTCTCCAGACCTAACATCATGATATCCCTGATTTATCAGTGGTGAGTTAATCAGTGGCTCTGTCACTTTAATTGAGACATCTTTTCAAAGAACTCAAATGCAATGACTGATGCTGTTGATGGATCCTGAATGTTAGGGGTCAAGAACACAAACTGTCTTCTAGACTTTAGGATCAAAATAGTGCTCTTACCACTTTTAACATGTGTCTCCCTTGCTCGGAAATGTGTATTGTAAAGTCTAAAGACTATTCTAGGGAATTAAAAATAAGTAAAATAATGTACATTAAGTTTTGAACGCAATATCCATTGATTCTTCCCTTCATTCTCGTGAATCTGATACATTTGATATTGAGTTGGGATATGACATTTCTTCTCTAGAGCATAAATGAACGGAAATCACAATTTAAATTGTCACCACATTATATATAAAGAAAAAAAAGAAAAGAAAAGCATATTAATAGACCATAGAATAGAAAAAAAGAATAGTACATTATTAGCTTCCGTTGCTTACTTTTGATTTTAGCTACGAGGACAAAAGCAAAACTGTTTGCGGAATATAGTTAGATGTCACTACATACATGTTCTGAAAGACATTCATGGATTACTGTGAATATTAGAAAATATCTTTGTATGTTACAGATCTCTTCAGCCACTGTGGAAAATGCTAGGGTTGTTCTACAAATAGACAATGCCAGGTTGGCCGCCGATGACTTCAAGAACAAGTAAGCAAATTATATAATGATCATTAAGTTAAAAGGATATAAATAAATGACACAAAATCGAAGGCTTTCTGATATCATAGGCTCTGTAATATGACAGTATTGAAATTCTCTATTGGAAAATATTACTTTAAATTTATTTTTACACATTTATTTTTACATAGGTACGAGATGGAACTCCGACTGAGGAACAATGTTGAGGCAGATGTAAGTGGTCTACGTAGAGTTCTAGAAGGCTTGAACTCAGAAAGATGCGACCTTGAAGTCCAGGTGCAGAACCTTCAGGAAGAGCTGCAACAAATGAAGAGAAACCATGAAGAGGTAATCATGTGCTTAAAGTGATCCTGCCATGACAGTTATAGGTTTGCAGTTTTCTAACCGACTGGCTTGACTCACATTATAAAATGAGTGTTACTTCTCCTAATATTATTAAACACCCATATTTTCTGTTTATTTCCATTACCACTGTCTTCTGCTGAGATCATCAATCATGTTTTCAGTGAGTATTACACTTGCTGTAAGATACATTTATCCTGCATAACCCAGTTTGGGAAGCAAAGACTTGCTTTCCATAGCTGGTTTAAAGTCCTAAGCACTTTATTCTGTGTAAATAAAACATTTCTGTTCTCTTTCTCAATTCTCAGATTGTCTGTCCAGAGCTGCTGCAATAAATTATTCTAGCTGTTTCTCTCCTCTCTCCATGCTGGTGCTGCTTTGAGGGGGCCTGCCCCTCATCCCTACTTTCCCTTGTAGGCATTGCCTTACCTTAACATGAATTCAAGAAAGAGATATACACAGATTAGGTTTTCCCTGATAACAGATATGCAGAGCACCATCTTCTTATCTCTGTACAGAGTGAACTGACTGAGAGGAGGGAGGAAAGGCAATTTTTGAACCTCTGAATTTTTATAAATCTAGACATTTGCTAGAAATTCTGCTAGCACAATGTAGAGATGAAATCTGATTCACCAAGTATAATGATCAAGAGAGTGTCAACTAAAAGAACTATGAGATTAAAAACCTTCAACTTTACAGATCACAACTAGTTGTGTTACACGTAAATACATTAAAGGGACACTGTAGTCACTATAACCACTTTGTCTCTTTGAATTGGTTATAGTGCCTGGAGTGACCTGGCACTGTCCCTCCATTCAGTGTTGCACCATGTTTGTGCAGTATGCCACAAAATAAGAGTACCTGGCCACCCACAGTCCGGCCCCTTCTGTATGTGTAGCTAAGGCAGAGATTACACACTTCCTTGTTGTCATACCCATTCATACAGTCAGTTGGAGCTCTGACAGGTTAAAAGCAGTCAGCTGACACACTCAGCCAATCACAGCTGCCCATTGCCTCTCAGGGTAATACTTCCTTATTAGCCAAAGCAGCACTGAGGGGATAGACTGCCGTGGACTCTTGTTTAGACATTACAACATTAAAAACGCTTTAATGCTGAAAGAAATGATGGTACCAGGGGACTCCATATATTATAACCAGTTTAATGAGATGAAGGAGATACAGTGCCTACGGTGTCCCTTTAATTTATCTTGAGTATTGTGTTAAGAAGATAAAATTGAATGCAAATGTCCCAAACATGCTTAATCATTATCTATTTTATTTGTATTTTATAGGAAGTGAACTCTCTGCGTGCTCAGTTGGGTCAAAGAGTAAATGTGGAAGTTGATGCTGCTCCATCCGTAGATCTCAATAGATCATTGTCTGAGATACGAGAACAATATGAAAACCTGATGGATAGGAACCTGAGGGAAGTTGAGAACATGTTCTTGCAAAGGGTAAATAAGTTTCAGTTTTACTAGACTTTAGGATTAACACTAATACAATATTTTATTTAATATATGTTACATTGATTGATTATACTGTAATTTAGAAAATAACATATTGGAAATTTGATAAATAAACCATTTAATCTTTACATACATATTTATGTATATTTATACTAGTGCATTTTAGTGACAATAGAGTGGAATGTGTGAAACCTACTATCATAAAGATGGACATGCTATTACTTAGATATTCCTTATAGCTACAGGTACTTATTTTCATACGTAGCCCAACGTCACTCAAACACTCATGACCACTGGGAGTGGCAGAGAGACTTGTTTTCCTCTTCATCATTTTATAACACACTAATGAAGGGGTTAGGTTATTGGCAACAGGCTAGTCCATGGGGGAAGGAGTGAGGTTACTACTTGGAGACCACTTGGTCACTTTAGAACTTTGTGACAAAGGGTTTAAAACATTTTCTAAAGGGTGTGGACCTTTGAGAACGATAAGGGAGACTGGGTTAGAGTCTGCTTTTACTTCCATGGCTGCGTCCCACTCATGATTTCTGTTAGTGAGGGGAACTTGAAATGGAGACATAGTCATCTTTACTAAATGCTATATTCTCTTTTTATGTATTCTGTATCTGTTTTCACAGACTGAGGAGTTGAATCGTGAAGTAATTTCAGGTTCCGAGCAGTTGCAGTCTGTCCAAACTGAGGTAATTGAGCTCAGACGTAGTGTCCAGACATTGGAAATTGAACTGCAAAGCCTACAAAGTATGGTAAGTACAGAAAATAATCATAAAATACAAGAACTTTCATTTTGCTAAACCAGCAGCAACATTTTCATAATTTCTTCAAAATATTGTCATTTAAGAAATGTGCTCTGGAAGGCACATTGGCAGAAACAGAAGCCAGTTACAGCTCCCAACTCTCCCAACTGCAAGGTATGATCAACAACGTTGAATCTCAGCTGTCACAGATCCGATCTGACCTGGAGCACCAGAACCATGAGTACAAAATTCTCATGGACCAAAAGACCCACCTGGAGCTGGAGATTGCCACCTACAAACGCCTTCTAGATGGACATGACATCCAGTACGTAGATTTATTTGTTATGATTTGGGCTTTCTATAAAAACATTTTTTTTAAAAAGCATATTGGTGCCACTGTCATGTCCAGTATAAAAATAATATAACAACTAGTATTCATATAGCGCCATTTTCCCAGTGGGACTCAAAGCACGCTCTCGGAATTAACCAAATTAGCAGCTGAATAGTATTAGATATTATTATTACCCAATTGATGGTACTTATTTTATCAACCTCAGAAGGATGAAGGGCTGAGTTGACCCTGCCATGATTTTAACCTGTGGCATTGTACTCAGGGAACTTACCAACTGAGCTACCTCACCGAATTAACTCTTTGTTCCTCTGTCTCTTGAAGTTTCAAGATTATGATATTAACAATTTTACAGTTATTTCATTGGGTGTTGGGTTGGTTGTTCACCATAGCACTAGTCAAATTATCAATTTAGAAAGTACTTGTATGCAAATATGGATATTATCGAACATTAACAGGTAACTCCAAGCACCATGACTAATTCAGTGATTTGCTGGATTTAATTTTTGGTATTCATATCTTTTTTAGTGTTTCTGGACATAACTTTTCAAGTGGCAAAGAAGGTAAAGTATTTTTTTGTCCCCATTAAAAATCAATACATGAATTAAAAATAATATTTTATGCTTGTGTATCAATTTGAGCAGTCTTGCACCCAAACATCATAGCTTTCACGTAAATGAAATTGTTTATTTAAACATTGCTCTAACGTCTTGATTTGATACTTCTGGATAAACGTTTTAATTGATAACAATCTGCTAGAAAAACTGTTCAAATGATTTACCTACAAAAAATGCCTTCTGATACTCCTATCCCAGGTTTACAAACTGCCTGTGAATTGGAAAAAACTCAACATTTACTTTTTTTCTTGACCTCTCACTTAATTCACATGCCATTGTCACAATGACACATCTCATTATGCCTATTTTAATTGGTTTTTCTAACTTTGTCATTATACATTGTCATTTTTTGTTTTTACTATCCAAATATCTGCATGTTTATTTATATGTAAATAAAACACATTTTTCAAATCATTTCAAAATAAACATAAAGTTATGAATGTTTTCTCTGTTTTTAGGGTCTCACCATCACGCCACAATTTCCCATCATACCTCAGAACATGCCCATCACACCAAATAGATGGGAGAACCAAACTAATTGGAGCAGAGCAGGAAATCTTCATGCATCTTCCTAAAAGCTGATAAATCTGTCTCTTTTAATCTGTGTTTGAATTTCTCTCCTATTAAATCATCCCTTCTCTTTATTTAGACAAATTAAAGTTTTCTGCATTTGCTTTGTGTATCATTTTCTCAAATTAAATCTATCTGTTTCATGCAAATATGGCTACTGTCTATTATTTCAAATTTGTATTTTAGAACATCAACACCATTCATTGGAGTGCATACAGTGTGTTTGTGAGTTTTCTCTCCTCTACTCATATATCACTTACACTATTTTATCAGTACTATTCTATTCTATTTTTTCTTTTTTATATATGTGAAACTTACTGAAACTTTGTGGGTATTTACCCATATAATTATATGTAATTAAAGGTGACATAGTTACATAGCTGAAAAGAGACTTGCGTCCATCAAGTTCAGCCTTCCTCACATATGTTTTTGCTGTTGATCCAAAAGAAGGCAAAAAACCTAGTCTGAAGCGCTTCCAATTTTGCAACAAACTAGGAAAAAAATTCCTTCTTGACCTCAAAATAACAGTCAGATATCTCATTGGATCAAGCAGCTATTAGCCCACTAATTAGAAATTATATTTCTAATTAGTGGGCTTATATAAGAGGTAGATATTAATGATAAAAGTAATAATAGTATACACAAAAGTCTTAGGACAATATAATATGTATAGTCTCACTAACCCAGTGGGACTAAAGTTCTAATAAAATCATCAAAGTATGAGATAACCAAAAAATTAGAAACCAAAGACAGGGTTTCACTCAGAGGTAAATGTCTTTACAGAGTGTTTGTTTTTGGGTGTAGTGTCCTCATTTTCTTTAGTTGTTCAACCTCCTTGCTCATATTATTATTATTATTATTATGATATTTATAGAGCGCCGTCAAATTCTGCAGCGCTTTACAATGGGTGGACGAACAGACATGTATTTGTAACCAGACAAGTTGGACACACAGGAACAGAGGGATTGAGGGCCCTGCTCAATGAGCTTACATGCTAGAGGGAGTGGGGTGAAATGACACAAAAAGGTAAGGATAGTAGTAGACTAATGACAGTTGCAGAAGAGGAATCAGTCAGGAGCTATTAACAGTTTAATTGATACACTCTTATGAAGAAGTGGGTTTTTAACGTTTTTTTGAAGGAGTGGAGACTGGGTGATCATCTAACAGAGGAGGGAAGCGAGTTCCACAGGAACTCATATTTAAAACAAGAATGTGAAATGCCAATGGTGCACTATCTACTAGCAAGTGAAGATAAAATAGATGGATACATAAGGTCAACTCACATTTAAAAGAGCTATATCCAGCCCGGGTGTGAAGAGTGTACAGCAGTATAATCCCCGCTTACAGGATGTGCAATAGGAGTCCTCGAGAGGGGTGGTGTCCAACACTCACGAGAGGGATATATAAAATACAACTAATAGTGCTCTCAGTAAAATAAAAAATGCAATAAACATAAATAAAATTGTACTCACAAATAGAGTGCTGGCAAACTGCACTGTGGTATCAGCGTGGGTGGTATGATCGGGATCCGGTTTCTTTTACTTTTAAGACTAACCTATTGTGAGGAACCGTATCAAATGCCTTGGCAAAATCCAAGTAGATCACATCCAGTGCAACACCCTGATCTATACTTCTACTTACTTCTTCGTAGAATGCAATTAGGTTAGTTTGACATGGCCTATGTTTCATAAAACCATGCTGATCTTTGCTAATAACAAAGTTCTTCCCAATGAATTCCTGAATATGATCCCTTAATAGCCCTTCAAATATTTTCCTAGTCACAGAAGTTAAGCTCACAGTCTATAATTTCCAGGCAAGGATTTTGAACCCTTTTTAAATATTGCAACATCTGCCTTCCTTCAATCATTCGGTACAATGCCTGAAACAAAAGAATCTTGAAAAATTAAATACAGAGGTTCCCTTATTCCCCCACTTAGTAAAGTTAAAGAGTGTGTTTAACTTTACACTTAGCACTATTTGCAATATTTGTACTATATATTGTGATATGTTCACGGTGTTACAGACCATATTATTTATTTATTAGCAGAAATACTTTATACCTGTATTATTGAATGAGCATTTTCTTGTGTTTGGTTTTTTAATGTGCACTTTGTATAATAATCTAGCACAGCACTTTATTAGTGTGGCACAATAATTTTATTCTGCCTTCCAGGCACAGTGCCCTTTTTTTTTCTTCCCCTTTTTATAGTGTTTTTGAGCTTTAACACAGTGTAAGGTGCAGCTCCGTGGAAAATATTGTTATTTATATTTTCGCGCCTTTTTTTCTTGTCTTTTTTGTCTATTTTGTAATTTGCATTGACAAAACAAATGTTTCAAAATTACGTAAAATTATTATTGGCTAATTTGCAAAGCAAAGCATATTCTGCAACAGTGTAAAATGGGCAGGTGGACAGTAACTAGTACAAATAGGAGGTGGGAAAAAACAATTTGACTTGGTGAGCAGGGCCTCGTCTTCGTGGCGGTCGGATGCATCCTGTGTGTGCTCCTCCGCTAACTTGGTGAATACAGCACAATGTCAACTCCCGACACACTCATCCAGCACCTACTGGGACTTACTTTCCTTCTGACACAAGTAGTGTGCTATTGGTCAGGTTCCTAAAGTGCCAGCCACCAGTTTTATTGACTCACCAGACAAGGCCTCTGGGACAAAATTGGGCAGTAAATGCGGCCGCTCTCCTGATCCACACAACACAGCAGGGCCGCCATCAGAAATTTTGGGGCCCCTGACAAAGCACAAGGTCTGCCCCCTCCCTCACTCCACCTCCCCCCCCCCGGGCCCACCCACATCCTACCTAGTCCGCTGACAATGATGCAGGACTGAATGTGGTGTGTATAGTGGAAGTGGATTAGAATGTGTGTAATGGATATAGTGTTTGTGTAGTGGATGCTGTGTGTATAGTTAATGCAGAGTGTATGTTAGCGTAGTGAATGCAGAGTGTATGTCAGTGTAGTAAATGCAGAGTGTGTGCATAGTGTAGTGAATGCAGAGTGTGTGTTAGTTTGTAATGAATGCAGTGTATGTTAGTGTAGTGAATGCAGAGTGTATGTCAGTGTAATAAATGTAGTGTGTGTGTGTTAGTGCAGTGAATGCAGAGTGTGTTAGAGTGTAGAGAATGCAGAGTGGGTGTAAATGTGTAGTGAATGCAGAGTGTGTGTTAATGTGTAGTGAATGCAGAGAGTTTGTTAGTGTGTAGCGGATGCAGAGTGTGTGTTGTATTAGTGTATGCAGAGTGTGTTGTATTAGTGTGTGCAGAGTGTGTGTTGTATTAGTGTATGCAGAGTATGTTGTATTAGTGTATGCAGAGTGTGTGTTGTATTAGTGTATGCAGTGTGTGTGCTGTATTAGTGTATGCAGTGTGTGTTGTATTAGTGTATGCATAGTGTGTTGTATTAGTGTATGCAGAGTGTGTGTTGTATTAGTGCATGCAGTGTGTGTTGTATTAATGTATGAGGAGTGTGTGTTGTATTAGTGTATGCAGTGTGTGTGTTGTATTGGTGTATGCAGTGTGTGTGTTGTATTAGTGTATGCAGTGTGTGTGTTGTATTGGTGTATGCAGTGTGTGTGTTGTATTAGTGTATGCAGTGTGTTTGATGTACTGGTGTATGCAGTGTGTGTGTTATATTGGTGTATGCAGTGCGTGTGTTGTATTGGTGTATGCAGTGTGTGTTGTACTGGTGTATGCAGTGTGTGTGTTGTATTGGTGTATGCAGAGTGTGTTGTATTGGTGTATGCAGCGTGTGTGTGTTGTATTAGTGTATGCAGTGTGTTGTGTTAGTGTATGCAGTGTGTGTGTTGTATTGGTGTATGCAGTGTGTGTTGTTTTAGTGTATGCAGTGTGTGTGTTGTATTGGTGTATGCAGTGTGTGTTGTTTTAGTGTATGCAGTGTGTGTGTTGTATTAGTGTATGCAGAGTGTGTGTTGTATTAGTGTATGCGGTGTGTGTTGTATTAGAGTATGCAGTGTGTTTGCTGTATTGGTGTATGCAGTGTGTGTGTTGTATTTGTGTATGCAGTGTGTGTGATGTATTAGTGTATGCAGTGTGTGTGTTGTATTGGTGTATGTTGTGTGTGTGTTGTATTGGTGTATGCAGAGTGTGTTGTATTGGTGTATGCAGTGTGTTGTCCTGGTGTATGCAGTGCGTGTGTTGTGTTGGTGTATGCAGATTGTGTTGTATTGGTGTATGCAGTGTGTGTTGTATTGGTGACTGCAGTGTGTGTTGTATTGGTGATTGCAGTGTGTTCTATTAGTGTATGCAGTGTGTGTGTTGTATTACTGTGTGTTGTATTAGTGTATGCAGTGTGTGTGTGTTGTATTAGTGTGTTGTATTAGTGTATGCAGTGTGTGTGTTGTATTGGTGTATGCAGTGTGTGTTCTATTAGTGTATGCAGTGTGTGTGTGTTGTATTAGTGTATGCAGAGTGTGTGTTGTATTAGTGTATGCAGTGTGTGTGTTGTATTGGTGTATGCAGTGTGTGTGTAAATGTGCAAACTAGGGGAGGGGGCGGAAGGGGCATTTCCACATGAAATTTAATTAAAAGTTATTCCCCCCTCCCTGCTTCTTACCTGTGTCCAGGGAGGGGGGAGATTCCATTCCCTCGTGGTCCGGTGGCATGATGGGGCCCCCGGCTCCCTCTTACCTCAGAGGGGGCCCGGCACACTGCATCTTCACATTCAGTTCATTTCCTCCAATAACACTCTCGAGACCCCCGTGCCATGCGGAACGTTGCCATGGAAACCCTGGAGTTATTTGAGGAAATCAACTGAATGTGAAGACGCAGTGTGCTTGGCCCCCTCTGCTGTAACAGGGAGCCGGGGGCCCGCGGCTGCACACATAGATAGCGATATTCGCTATCTATGTGTGCAGAGCGGGTATGTGGGGCCCGAGACTGCCAGAGCAGTCCGGGCCCCCCAGGACCGCTGGGCCCATGACAACCATCATGGTTGTCAACCCCTGATGGCGGCCCTGGAACACAGTCTCAGTGCAGAATCTTCTTGCTGCCCCCTTGCCCTTCCCCACCTCCGCTTTGGACCAGCAGGTGTCATCTCGGCCCTTACTGGACTACTATACTTACATCCTCTGTTGGTTATCTACCACTGCTGTCTACCTCTCCCATGTGGTGGAACTAGCAAAGATGTCAAACACCCGTACTCATCGTTGGCAAAGCCTGACACAGAACCAACATTGTTCTATTGAAAAGAAGCTGCAAAAGCTGGAAGCGATAATTGCACACTTCTGGGAAACATTAAAAGCAAGAATAACAGCACGTCCTTGTGAGCCTCAAGAGAATTAAATAAAATAAGGGGGGAGAAGTGTGAAGTAGTGAGGCCTTCTCTGGGCTCAGTGATTCTCCAGGTGTCTGTTACTACTTATGTGTGCTTACCTAAGCCATAGGCCACAGGGGGTTGTGCCCTAAAGCATCATCCACACAGGCCAGGGACTGTTAACACCAAAGTTTCCTGCTATTCCCTATTTGGGATGGACTTAGCCCTATGGAGATTCTGAGTCCGTGGCTTCAGGATGCAGGCCTGGGTACAGGCCTGGGGTATAGGACCTGATTTACCTTATTCCTGTTACGCAATCTCCTCTGAAGATCGCTCTGCAGGTCCTCAGCGCTTCCTGGCAGCAGGGGTCGGTCGTGGACTTACCTATCTATTAAGCTGCCGTTCAGCTGAAGTTGCATGCTGCAAGATGTCATTAGCAGCCATCTTGTTGTTATTGGTTGAATTAAGCCTTTTACTTAAACATTATTATTTATTTTATGTTAAGCTAACTATGGTACAGAAGCAATGTCCTAGGATCCAGTGGTTCTCATCTTGTGTGAAAACGCTATTGCAGTCATTACTCGTGTAAAGATAGACCCCTCCACTGCTTAGCTATTATTATTAGTATGTTTTTATTTATATAGCGCCAGCAAATTCCACAGTGCTTTACAGTAGGTGGATGAACAAACATGTAGTTGTAACCAGAGGGGTTAAGGGGCCGGCTCAATGAGCTTACAGGAAGCCAATGTAGGCACTGACAGAAGGGTGAGGCGTGGGAGGTGCGGGCGGTCAGGAAAATGAGTCTCATCTATTATGTACTGTAACGGCGCAAGTTGGGAGCACGTAAGACCACTGAGAAGCCGATTACAGTAGTCAAGGTGAGAAAGGACAGTGGAATGGACCAGCACCTTAGGCGTTAAGTAGGGTCGGATGCGCGCAATGTTTTTGAGATGGAAGCGACAGGATTTGGCGATTGACTGAACATGAGGCGTGAAGGAGAGGTCGGAGTCAAAGAGAACACCTAGGCAGTGAGCCTGCATGGTGGAGCTGATGGTAGCACCATTGATTTGGAGGGAGACAGACACATGAGTAGCAACACTTGAGGGAGGAAAGACCAGAATTTCAGTTTTGTTCAAGTTGAGTTTAACAAAGTTGTCAGCCATCCAGTTAGAAATAGCAGAGAGGCAGTCGGAGACACTAGTCAAGAGGGACAGGGAGAGATCAAGAAAGGACAGGTAGATTTGCATGTCATCCGCATAGAAATTATATTGGAAGACAAAGGAGCTAATGAGTTTACCAAGTTAGGCAGTATAGATAGAGAACAGTAGGGGACCAAGGACTGAACCTTGGGGGACACCAAAAGAGAGGAGTTGGGGAGAAGAAGCAGAGCCAGAGAAAGAAACACTGAAAGAGTGCTGGGAGAGGTAGGAGGAGCACCAGGAGAGAGCAATATCTTGTAGACCGATATTGCGGAGGATGAGAAGAAGCTGTTGATGATCAACAGTGTCAAAAGCCGCAGACAGGTCAAGAAGAATTAGAATAGAGTAGTGACCACGAGATATTGCAGTGAGTAGATCATTGGATACTTTGGTCAGTGCCGTTTCCACAGAGTGCTTAGCGCGGAAACCAGACTGAAGCAGGTCTAGCAGAGAGTTGGACTCAAGGAAGTCTGGCAATCTTGTATACACAACTCTTTCAAGAATCTTGGACGCAAAAGGCAGTAGAGATATAGGACGATAGTTGGATGGGGAGTTAGGGGCAAGGTTGGGCTTCTTTAGAATTGGGGTTATTGTTGCATGTTTGAAGGGCGATGGAAATATACCAGAGGAGAGAGAGAGATTGAGAATTTAGTGACAGGTATAGGAAGAGGAGAAGACAGAGTAGGTATGAGGTGCGAGTGAATTGGATCTAGGGAGCAGGTGGGGCGGGAGGACTGGAGCAGAGCAGAAACCTCTGCCGCTGTAGTGGGTGCGAATGAACATAGAACAGCAGAGGGAGTGAGGTTAGAAGAAGTATTGTAAGGGAAAGAAGAAAAATTAGAGATCTTTTCCCTGATTGTAGAGATCTTGTCAGTGAAGTGAGTTGCAAAGTCTGAGGCGGTCAAGTTAGTAGGTGGAGGAGGAACAATAGGGTGAAGAAGAGAGTTAAATGTGAGAGCTAAGTGCTGGTAGTTTTTCTGTATCATTTCATATGTGACGGGTTTACCTGCCATAACTCCCTAATTTTCATTCTGTAATGTTCTATCTCTTGCCTCAATAAAAGTACGAGGGACGAGGAAGAAAAGTGGTTGAGTGACTGCCATTATGTAGTAATGTAACTGAAGTAGCGAAGGAAACAATGCCTATGGTTTATTCAAGTAGAAGATTTGGCTTGTAAAAATAGTTGAATCGCACAAATGGGGATAAAAGTAAGGAGTGATATGGGAGACACACTTTTTCACTAATAGTTAGATACTTTCTTTGTATTCCCTTTATAGCTTTTAATTGTTTTTAATAAGTTCCTATCTTGCATCATATTTCCATATGAGGTGGTATAGAAAACAAACAAAAAAACTCAATGTGTCGTCATGAGAGGTCTCATCTTTACAACTACAACACTTTGTGGGAAAAGAAAGCAGATTATTTAATGACTGGTTCTGTAGACTACACATATTTGGAGAGGAAAGAAAATCAAACATGGAGTCCATTTGTTGTAATTTTAGTCTCATTTTATTTAAGACATTTTAGCAATCATAGGCTAGTTGAGCCACAGAGGCAGATTATAGATAGAACACTTTATTTTGGCTGTTTTCAGGATTAATCAAACACCCCCATGCAATTGACATAATTAAACATAATGTAGTCTTGATAATTTAGCTCTACATGCAAAATCATATACATTTACGCACATATTCACAAGTATGTTAATATGAAACATATTCTAATTTGTCTATACATATGTTGATGTAACTCTAGGCTAATTTAATGTCAATGTTATATTCTTAAAAAGTCTGTTGGTTAAATCTTATGCAAGAACCATGGGGGCTACCAAGCCAATTTAACACCATTAAATATAAAAATAACGCAGTTTAAATCTAAAGGATAGATACAACATCCCTTACTATTTATGTTTTGATTTTTTGACTCCACATACAAAAACACATACAGTGGACATTCACACACATGCACACATTAAGATTTATTGAAAGGCATGGTAGAAACTGCCTAAATCCCCAATTTTCCTGGTCTGTTGGAAAGACAAAAATAATGTGACTCTCAAGCCTATGTTCAGGTAAACTCGGCCCACGGTCGGTAAAACTCAATGCACTTTTATAGCAAAATCCTTAATTTTTTTCATAAACGCTGCCTAACTTGCACCCATGCCTAACATTCAATACCTTCAATTTTTGAAGTCGGGATACCTGTACTTTCTCTGCCTATGGGTCATTGGGATGAAAATCGCATACAGACACACTTATGCACAAACATACACATGTACTTTACTAGCTTATTTGTGCTGGGAATGTCCAGCAGTGATGATGAACATTTCATATTCCATCTCAATCAAACATTTTGTTGAATCGGCACCCAGTTTGCTGTCACATTGTGGAAAATAAGTGAGCAGATTTCTGCATTCTGCCTTCATCTCTGACTTAACACCAATCCCTACCCTGTGGAGCTCAAAGGTAGGACTGGGACAACATTTTCTTTATCTTTGTTTTAAGATTCCACCCAGAACTTACAGAATAAAAAATAAACTAATTTCAATATAAATTCTGTAGGACTAAAAGCAGATAAAATGCCTTGAAGAAAAAAATCAACGTGATGAAATTTAGTATGTTTCTGCATTTAAAATTTCAGTATTTTTAGTAATTTTGCGAAGTCCTAAAAATTAGTTCTTTTGGCCACAATACATGACCCTGGGCTGTTTTGCAGCATTATTGCAAAATGTTTTATATTGAATATATAATTAAATAATATGGTAATTACTTTATTGATTAAATCGTATTTGACAAATAAAAATATAAATTCTTACCATGGTAACTTTGAATCATACAGAAGAATGCGTGTGAGATTTAATTATGTAATATAGTAAGGTAGTGTCTAAATAGTAGACGTGCAAAAATTAACTACGAAAGTGCCTGGTACTTGTTCAATAAATCGATTTCTAAAATTCTATTTGGTTCGTTTATGAACACACCAATTTCGGGATTGATTTGTTCGACATTTACAATTAGCATTTTATTCATATGGATCACTTAAAAGTTTGCACGTCTAATAAGTAGTATTAATAATAATAATAATAATCATAATATGGTAATTGAAAATGATTAAACTAATTCAGAAAATAATGCATGATACAATATATGAAACTTAAAGAATGCAAAGATAAACTTATGAAGAAGGTAGTTCACTTTTATGATAGGGTATTGAGTTATGAATATATTATGGCTCAGCCTGCATGATTAATAAATATCCTTATATTTCACAAGCCAGTTAAATGCAATTGTAAACACAATTTCCTGGAAAGCTGACATGAGAAGCTCTGGTCCGTAGAACTTGTGAATTGTTATGCCCACTAGCGCTACTCAGAAAAAAATCTAGATTTCAAATTTGTCTCGCGGAGACAGGATTTTTCTGCTTTCCATCTCTTCCGTGATCGATAGAACTTTGACTCCTTTTGGAAAAACTGAAAAATAAACCACAATGAAAATATATTAGTTCACATAGATTTCTTTCTAGTAGTAGCATTGCATGTACGTGTATTTTTTAAAATGATAAACGGATGGACAGATAGATAAATAGATAGATAGTTTGAAAGCTGAATGTGTCTAATTATTAGTTATGTATTGTTTTTCTCAAACTTACCTTCTATATTATCAGGTAACGGAGGTCTTGGAACACTGTAAAGTAATGCAAACATTTTACCAAAGATAAACTTTTCCTCTTACCATATTTAAGAATTAAAATGTTAAAGGGACACTCCCAGCACAGTCACCTCTCCTCATGTGGTAACAATACTAATGATTTTAGCCTATCCAATGCTTTTCCATAAGGAAGCATTGGGAGGTTGGAGCACATGTGCGACAAACTCCCCACATCTCCAACTGCACCTAACTCAGCGCATCTCTGTAGGGGAACATTCGGGTCGCAATGCAGAGAGTGGAGTCTCTGAATGTCAGCCCTACCATCTTGCAGGGCTGCATCAAAGATGTCTCTCTCTCTACTGTCTGTCCAAGTGGACGCCAAAAAAGATGGTGTTAGGCAGTGATGTAAACACTACATTATTTCAAAAAAGGTATCATTTACACAGCTCAGTTTACAGACTCTTTTACCCAGAACCATTGCATTAAACTGTAGTGATTCTGGTACCTAGGTCACATGATAAAATATCTTGTCTAGCTTAATATGCATACAGAAAAGAGTCCCATTAATAATGGTTGTCCTCACAAAAGGAACATGATATGAACTCAATACAGTAAACAAAAGCATAGAAGAAGCAAGAAAATATAGTGTATTATAGCAGGTGTTATGTAGCTAGAGAAAAGTAAATTGCATAGAAATACTATATGAAACCACTCACTCTCCTAATGATCATTGGAATACTTGCACGAGTTCGATATCTGGTTTACAGTTGGGAATAGCTTTCCCAATACTCCTTCAATGCAATAATCTAATCAATATTACTAGTGTTCACCTACTGGATGTCCAGTTTATCCAGAAGACTCCAATAGGTGGTGATTTCTCTCTCCAAATGCATTGTCACATCTCGTAAAACTTTGTAGTCGTAGCTCTGTTGTTTCTGCTTGTCTCGTATCTGTGTAAGTGTGTCTTCTACGTCATGTATCGTGCCTTGTATCTGTGACAACTGGGAACTGTAACTGGCTTCTTTTTCTGTCAAGGTGTTTTCCAGGGCTGAATTCTGAAATTGAATTAAATGGATTGTGTGATGAATATGTTTCATTCATAGAAATTTTTAGCAATATACAAAAGAAGAGAGTTTAAACAAACTGACATATGGTCAAAAATTACCTGAACTATGTAATATATTTACAGATACATACTTCTACAGCAAAGTTTTCCACAGCAAAATTATAATCTAGTGGATGTCTTCTTCAATATTCAGGTTGTAGAAAGACAGATTAACCATTCCTTATTTTTGAAATTTTTCTTATTTTTGTTTTGGTTTACTTCAACATTATAAACATGTTAAGGTTCTACCTAAGATCGCCAACAGCAATTTATTATTTTTTTATTTTTTTTTAGGTAGCTCTGGCTCATATACTTCATAAAATTCTGTCCTTCTAAAGGGACTTTTGAAATTCAGGATATTTCGCTATTTTGTTCGAAAGGATCTCCCGTACCCGTGCTGAAAGAAGCAAGGCGAACAGACTACATCATAGATACCATTTTTCTCTTTGTCATTTAGTGTCTGGGACTACAAGGTCAAAACACATTCTATTCCTCTTAACCCCTTAAGGACCAAACTTCTGGAATAAAAGGGAATCATGACATGTCACACATGTCATGTGTCCTTAAGGGGTTAAAGATGATCTGATTTGCTAATGGGAAAGGTTCTCATTAACCCCTAAATATCCTAGCAAACATAGACTTGTCTTATCCCGTCTTAGGGTCTTGCAAGTTTACTTTAAAATGTACTGTTTCTATACTCCCTAGCCTTTACTGGCAACATCGGCTAGTGATTTACCATAGCAGCCATAGTGCATGTTTGGTGGTTGATATGTGGGGAGAGCAGAAGTACCACCTGTGGGAGCTCTTTTTTGCTTCCCCTTGCAGTCAATTCATCGGCATGAGGTTTTTGCCAAATAATTGACTGACAGGTGTAGGGAAGACTTATTTTTAAATAGGATTTTCTCTCAATCTATTAATTTTCTAACACAATGTATAGACAGCATTCTATGATCTTTCCAAAGAAGATATGTTAAAATAGGCATGAATGGTACCCTGCAAATATGATGCGTGGCAGTGAGATGGGTTTAATACATCACTCCTTGGAGCAAATTACAGTGCTTGGAATGTGGAAGTTCTGTTGGCCATAAAACGTGAACCTCTGCTCAACCGCCTTGTTTGAATCACTGCAAGTCCATTCCTTCTAAAAGTGTGTCTATATGTTGATGACTTCTTGACTATCGATACTATGACCAACGAGCACAGACTGAGTCTAATGCTAGTAGGCATGCAACTATATCAATCGATTTTAAGTTCCTTCTTGTATTCTTCGACATAATATGCACTTCATATTACCTGAGATATATTTAATTCATTTTCATTAAATGTTTAACAAGTTTGGAAACATACCATGCTCATTTGACTCTGTCTGTCTATCTCCAAGGTCTGAACAATCCTTTTCAGTTCAATGATCTCATTATGGAGTGTTGATATATGTTCAGATGAGTCGTTACCAGCCTCACTTTGAAGTTGCGAACTCTTTAAATGAAGAAAACAAAGACTATGAATGTATCCATTTCTACATTTGAAAAATACTTAGGTAAAACATTGGCAAGCTAGTTGACCCAACAGGTCTTCTGCAGTCTGCAAACCTAAAGCATAATTTAATTGTCTCAAATATAGAAACAAGGTCACAGCTATGCAAATGACTGCTTAAACAACAGAAATATAAATTTTGAAATTTAGGGATTACTTTTGCCTATTTAGGTTAATGTGCCTCTTTAAACAATTTAAAAAACTAAGTTTTTGCTCACTTTTATAGGGGACGTGTCATGGTACCCACAAAAAAGTTTAAAATTCCATCTATACATTGTGCTAGCAGTTTTGTTAGCAAATGTAGAGATTTGGAGAAAACCCTGTTTAAAAATCTCCCATTAGATACTGAATGCCAAGGAATTGGGGGACAGGGAGAGCAGAAGAGAGCTTCCACAGATGGTGCCTCTGCCCTCCACCCATAGCAACGACAGTGCATGAACTGTGGTTACTATTGTAACTCTCTAGCTGGTACTGCTACCACTATCTAGTGAGTATAGGAATGGAGTGATGTCACTCCGTTCATACACCAGCACACTAGCAATGAAGCCAGCATGTCATCATCATGGAGGAAGTTTGCCATCTTGGGGAAATGTCCCCAAACAGGGCAAGTCAGCAAAGAACAGAAGATGAGTGTGGATGGACCTAGAGGTGGGTGCTGCAAAAGTGTAACGCCCACCTCATCAATGAGTTTTCCGCAGGGAAACGGAGGGCCAGGTAAGGCATTTTTTCCATGAAAGGTTCTCTTTAATCCAACTGTTAACTAGTCATTACTGATGATCCCAGCCAATCTAATGCTTTCCCATAGAGAAGCACTGGGACGCTACTGCACATGCAGGGCTATCGACGTGCTTCACAAATCCATATAGATGCATTAATCCCAATATATCTATATTGGGAACATGCTGACACTAAACTTTGATCCTGCATAGATTGCAGGACTCTAATAAGAAGCACCTGTAATGTCTGTCTCACCTATCATCCATCAGATAAAATAAAGAATACTAGCACACCTTTTCAATAAACCATTTTTCAGCTTCTGTTTTGTTGTTCTCCATAAGTTGTTCGTACTGTTCTCGTATGTCAGACAAGAGCTTATTCAGGTCCACAGCTGGAGTCATTTCTAATTCCACATTGATTCGGGCTCCGACCTGACCATATAGACTCTTCACCACCTACCATCACATTTGAACATTTAAAAAAAAAAATAATAAAAATGTGTTAGAAAAAAATATAGGTCAATGAACAGAAGTTCGTTCTACCTAAAGATTTTTTTATTATAAATTAAATTGTTGCATTTTTTTGGAAACCATTTTTCAGTTTATCATATTGTTCTTCTGTTGTCATAAAGATCAATGGTCAACAAACTTAAATCCTAGAAATTTGCTCTCTAAAAAATTATTTGAGGTGGCTTGACAACAGATTTACAAATGCATGCCGAAAATTTAACAGTTGTAAAAAATGTACATTATGAAAGTGTGTTTTCCGATACACAGAACCCTTGGCCATAGGCACATACATATAGCCAAACACGCACACTTTTACGTTCCAGATGACCAAAGCCTAAATACATACAACTAAATAAATAAAGACCTACATACATAAATCTGAAACTATGTTGTATGGCAACATAAAGAGGAAAATATATATATAATATATACAAATATTTGTGTTTTGTAGTGAAAAAACAAAACAAAAAAACTAAAAGAAACACTAAATAATTGGGCAGTGAAGGAGTTTAACCAATTATTATTATACATACAGACCAAACATATTAAAGGAGAATTGTCACTTCTCTGAAACTGACACCATTGACAAATGCTTGAGATGGTTCCATTTTGTTTTTAATTTATAATAAGATTAATCAAATTACATTATAATTTGATTCAGTTCAAGTTTACCCTTAAAGGCACACTTCAGGTTCCAAAACAACTTCATCTAAATTAAGTTGTTATGGTGCCCATTCACAAAACTAGCTTTGAAAAAAAAAAAAAAAAATTCCAAGCCAGTTTAGTGAATGGGGAGTCACTGATTGGGTGAGAACAAGAGTTGCCCCAGGGGCCTCCTGGCACCATATCAACTTCATTTAGATAAAGTTGATTTGGTGATTGGAGTGTCTTTTTAAATTAAGGCAAACATTACGAATGAAGAGAAGAAATATGAATCTTGTTTAATTTCTCCTCTACTCTTTCTACTATGCTTTCTCTAAACTGATGACTAGGTACAAAGAATATAACTTATAATAATGATAGAAGGGAGCTAAGATGGAGGCGCCCAATTGCAAGATAAAGTGGCGTGAATTTCTACATTTAATTGTATCTTTCATGCCTCAGAAATACATATTTGCTAAATATAAGGATTAGTGATGTCCCGAACTGTTCGCCATCATTGAGTAAACTTTGACCCTGTACCTCACAGTCAGCAGACACATTCCAGCCAATCAGCAGCAGACCCTCCCTCCCACCTCCTGGACAGCTCACTAAGAATGCAGCTTCACAATGGATGCTGTCCAGGAGGTGGGAGGGTGTGGGAGGGAGGGTCTGCTGCTGATTGGCTGGAATGTGTCTGCTGACTGTGAGGTACAGGGTCAAAGTTTACTCAATGATGAGTCCGCGGCGTTCGCGAACCGTTCCGCGAACAGTTCGGGACATCACTAATAAGGATAAGTAATATTTAAAAACATGAGACATGACTATTCCCCTTTAAAGGATCAGTCATGTTGCATATAAAGTGGTCTATGAAATAAAACCACTTTATATTCACCCTTGAGTGTCCCTTTAAGTGACAGTGCTTATCCAGACATCTTGACTGTATACATTACATCCTCGTTTCTCTTCTTCATCCCTAGCAAATCTTGTTCATGTTCTTGACTTTGTTTCTCCAGGTGTTGAATGTCTATTTGGAGATCGTTCAGTTCTTCGTGCAGATTCTTCACGTCCTGCTCAATATCCTTCCTTAATTTCTTCTCCATTTCATACCTGTACAAATATATGGACACCAAAAAGAGAAATAATAATGGTTTATGAAAGTGGAGGTGCTCACAGTCTATTGTTGTACTATGCCTCCCAAGTGTCCCTATTTAGAAGGGACAGTCCCTATTTTAGGTGTAAAATCCTCTGTCCCTCTTTTCTAGGAGCTCAATATTGTTGGTGTATAACAGAGCTCCACAACAATAATACTCACAGTTATGTACAGGTCCGTCACTTACTACAGGCCAATCAAGTGGCCGCCAAGGGTGCAGCTTAAGGGGGGGAGCTGGTAGAGGCTTTATGATCGTTTGTACCACAGTCGCCCTACTATGAAGTTGGATTAATTATTACTTATTCAGAGCATGCCACCAGCTATTTTACCAGGTGCAAGGAAGCACTTACATTGCTGCTTACTCACGCCTGGTAGAACATCGGTCCAGATGCATCCACCTCAGCCTGCACAGCCAGACCTCCCTCCAAAACATCAGTTGCGGCAGCAGGGCAAGAGCCCTGTACGTGGGGAGAAGTGGGTGGGAACATGTGCAGGAAATGTGGCTGAAAGTGGAAGTGATGGGCACAGGCAAGGTAAACATAGGAACGGCCAACTGATCTTTGCAATAAAGGTAAGATGGAACCTCGTAATGTGTGCGTCGGAGAATGTGTGTTAGTCTGCTTCAGTCAGTATGTTTGTGTATGTCAGTCTGCATGGGTCAGTGTTTGTCTGTATGGGTCAGTGCGTGTGTTTGCATGGATCAGTGTGAGTCTGCATAGGTCAGTGTGTATGTCTGCATGGATCAGTGTGTGTGTCTGCATGGATCAGTGTTTGTCTGTATGGATCACTGTGTGTCTGTATGGGTCAGTGTGTGTATCTACATGGGCCACTGTGTGTCTGCATGGATCAGTGTGTGTGTCTGTATGGGTCTGTGTGGGTCAATGTGTGTGTCTGCATGGGTCATTGTGTGTCTGCATGGGTCAGTGTGTGTCTGCATGGGTTAGTGTGTGTTTGCATGAGTCAATGTGTGTATGTGTCAGTGTGTGTGTGCATCAGTCTGCAAGAGTCAGTGTGTGTGCATCAGTTTGCATGGGTCAGTGCTTGTGTGTCTGTCTGCTTGGGTCAATGTGTGCCAATCGGCATTATTCAGGGTGTGTCTACTTGAGTCAGCGTGCATGCAATCTGCATGAGTGGGTGGAGTGAATAAGGCTGTAAATTGTTTTTTGCCTAAGGTGGCAAAGATGCTTGCACTGACCCTGGTAATGTATCATTAAACTACAGTAAATATGTTTAGAAATCAGTCTGTGTAAATAAGATACATTGTTATTAATGTCACCAAAAAAAAATCAAAAAAAATCTGAGAACAACCATGTCCCTGGCCATACCTCCACTTACACCCCTATAATTAAAGTGTCCTTCTTGATCCATTTCCAATGTTGGGAGGTGTGCAGAGTTAAGGTCTGACATCCTATTACAGCATATGCAGTTATTCATAAAAATTCATTCTCTCTTTGATCTGTTTGTTGCTTTTATGTATGTGTGTAAATTAATTGTATGACTAGATAAGTCATCCGATTGATCTATTAACTCTGATAAGCAAAATTATTCCCCATTGATGTCAAAGAGGAAATAATGGCATCATCAGGACCATAGCTAGTCAGAAAGTCCTTAATTTGTCAATTATATATAACACCCCTAAAACTGCCTTGAAATTGTACAAAAAATATTGAACACGGTCTCGCAATCTCACTTGTCCCAACTAGACACTCATTGAGTTTGCTCACATTTTATGTTTTGTTTGCTGTTAAATACATTTTACACTTTTAAATCTTTCAGATGTTATATGATGTAAAATATATGATGTGTGGATTTCTACACATTTTGATGATACTGTAAATTTTGCATATTATTATTATTATTATTATTATGTTATTTATATAGCGCCAACAAATTCTGCAGCGCTATTCAATGGGTGTATATGTACTATACATTGTGATAAAAAGAACACAATGGTTGTAAGACATAGTGGTTCTGGTCCAAAAATACAAAACATTAAATGTTATAGATTTAATTTACCACTTTACATTTTATCAAATCAGGTTGTTCACCGATAACATTATAAAAGTTATTACAAAACACACTTTAAAGAAGTCTCTTTTTAGTTCGCTTTTTTATTTTTCCTTCACATTGACTGCAGAAAGACTTACTTATTTAGAAAGTCGCTTGCAGCCAGTCGCGCGTTATCTACCCTGCGAGCAGTCCGTGTATTATCGGCAGCTGATTCCAATATCTAGGAAATATAGAAATGTATCAGACTCCTTGTTTTAGTTTGAGTATATATCATAAAAAAATTATAATAATATGCTTTTTTTCATATAAAACACGTACTATGTTTTAACAAAAAAGGGAAGTGAGTATAAAACAAGTAGCAGAGGAAGCATAACAATACAGAAAAAAAATCATGCAAGCACTCATGTTGACACATTAGTTATAGCAGAGATGAACATAGAGAAGCATTGGAAGCACACAGAATAAAACAGACTCAGTAATTGATTGATTAATGGCCACCTGCGATATGGGCATTGCAAGAAGAAAATCGTGTAATTTGTCAGTCGTGACACTGTTTTAACCCCTTAAGGACACATGACGTGTGGCATGTCATGATTCCCTTTTATTCCAGAAGTTTGGTCCTTAAGAGGTTAAAATTCAAGGCTATGGACAGCAGCTATGCCCCAAAATCCCAATGTTTATCTGTTTTTGTGTGTTTATAGATTTTATATTTTTTTTAAATTAATTTCAGTATTCTATATATACTTTATGAGTAGATAGATAAACTTCCTACTGTTTTCGTTCTTTTGTATTCACGTACAACATGCTATCATTTTGCTATGCTCTAATTCTTTTTTTTTAGGTGATATTTCCCCTCTCTCACATCATTGGGGAGTTCTGGGTTGATTAATGTCAATTTTATGCATATTTGATTGCACCGAATGTCAGTCATTGGCTGACACTCTCAGCCAATGAATGGCGATGATAGTGGCTTGCAGCTTCTGTGGCTCTTAAAAGCTCGTAGTGCATCAGTTAACCAGCAGGGAGCCTGAGAGCCAAGTTAATGGAGATAACCATTGCTAAATGGTTTGCCCCATTATTGGGAAACATGACCAGGGTACGCGTAGCATCATAACAATTACAGCTGGCTTGTAGTAACTCTTTAAGTCAATTTATCAATCGTCCATACAGGTCTTGAGAACCTTTCAGTAGATTCATTTTACAGATTAATGTGATTGAAAGCACAGTAAAAACAAAAAAAAAAAGCTTCAAAAAAGTGTATTTACTTAAACAGGAGTAATGATGAATTTACCAGGGAATTTGCATGTTTAGGCCAAATTAGCAAAGTTGAATAAATAGCTGAAATATACACCATGAATAAATTGTATATTAATCTGAAATTTGTGATGTAGTAAATTATCCATTTTTGACAGATTCCAAACTTTTTGGAATCTGTCAAAAAGGCTCATTCATTATGTCACTAATTCCCTAACAAAAATGAGTTTCCAATCAAATTTCCAAGCATTTGCTGATATTTATTTTATTTATATTTTTACTTTGCTTATCAAAAAAATGAAAACATAGCATATATTTGAATAATTTAGTATTTCTCACCATTTTATATTTCTATGCTGTTTTAATCTATACAATTTTTGTCAATTTCTTTACTGATTTTCCATAAAATTGTTATATTTACTTACCTTCATCTGGAGCTCTTGAATTGTTGCAAAATAGAAACTGAAATCAGGTAACAACTGGGGTTTATGTGTGTCATACCAGTCTCTGATCTTCATTTCCAACTGTGCATTCTCTTGGCCTAGCGAACGGACCTTTTCAAGATATGACGCCAGTCGGTCATTTAGTATCTTCATTGTCCCCTTTTCATTGGTGGTGAGCAAGTTCTCCTTCTTTTCACTGCTAAATTTAGGAAAGTTACCGTGGATTCGTCCAAATATAGTTTTTTGACTAAAGAGATTGCTTTTGATAATGGGGGTACCTTTGGTCGCTGGTGCTTGGACAGATATTGGTTTATTGATGACTTCATGATTGACCTTCTTGAATCCTTGTGGTTGTATAACAGAGATAAGCCTTGCGATTCTTGGTGAAACATTGCCACTGTGGTTGCTTCCCTTAAAACCTCCCCCGAGAGAAGATGTTTGCTTGATGTTATGGCTCATGATGACAGCAGAGCATAAACTATTTCTTGGAGCTTGTCAGCAAGAAGTGTCAATGTTTTCTTCAATTTAAGACTTCCTTTAAAAGCATAGTAAAGGGCGTAGAGAAACAAGCTTTTCATCCTTTATGACCCACCTCCGAGATCATATAAACATTCAGGCATTTCTTTTTCAAGTCATATGGTTTGTGAGGCGTCTTAAAGTGATGTGGGTGTTTGAATAACAATCTAAGCACATTTACAGATTTGTTACAGAGTTACTTTTAAGGCTTCACTCCACCCTGTTGAAATTAGCATCAAAAAAGCAAAAATATCTACAAATGTTAACACACCTGCAATAAAGTTGCCTGTTTGGATGACTGGATTTGAGCATGGTATATTGTATAATTGTCTTAATGAATGAATAACACAATTATCTTAAAATATATATTTATTTGTCACCACAATCCGAGTCTTAAAGTAATAGTTCTATTTTTTTCTATGGTTCCATACAGTAATCTGTATTTTTTATGCATTGAAAACTGGATATTTGTGTATATTATATATATATATATATATATATATATAATTATTATTTTTTAATGATACAGTACAGAAGCTGTTCAGAATAGGCGACTGTCTGCAGGGGATCAGAACTCATCCCTGGTAAAGTTGAGAATGCATTATTAACACAGAGTTCTACATGTTACCCTTTGCTGATCAGTGTATACCATCAAGCAGGCAAAAACACTAAATATACTTGAAATATACCCTTTTGTGTTGTGATCAAGTGCAGAGTGCTCACACAGAGTAAAATAGGGACATTCCTGTGTTGATGGCAGCAGGGATATTAGCTAGTGGAATCTCTATATTGATAGTATTGGACTAGGGTTATGGGTAGGTTAGCATTGGGTATTAACATTGGGGGTAAGGTTAACATTGGGGATTTAGGATTAGTGGGGTCTTAATGTTAAAGGAGGCCTGGGGTTGGACTTAGACCGGGAAGGCTTGAGGTACTCGGATTTTGGTTATTAGGGTTGAGGGAAAATGGGAAAGAAAAAATACTGGAGGGAAAGAAAACTTTCCTTCCTTAGTATAGAGCACAGAATATTGATTAAATTGACCTTTAATCTGGGAGGAGCATGAGCAGGCTACATGGATGCTAGAACTTCAAAATAATGAATTGTTCCACAGGAAACAAATGTCTCAAACCACAAGAGATAAGGAGATAAGGAAACCTTTGCTGAAGCAACATCAATGTGAAGACTTTCCATGGGGAATAAACCACAACATTTTTTTTTTATTAATTACTAATTGAATACCTTGAACAGTATATAATTGTTTAGCTTGAGGACTGAAGGAAACAGAGTCTTCCTGGTGGATTTTCTATGTTCTGAGTGGATTCTTTCGTACATTTAAGATTTCTAGTCTGCTTTATCTCCTTTATTTGATCAAAGCTTTGTGTGGATTGGAATAGAGCCTCACATGAAAAGTCTTGCACATCGTCATAAATAAATATAGACCAGTCTGGGTCGGGGAGGGGATGAGACCATCCAAAATGCTTCAGAACTTTGGACCAGAGTTGAGTGTCATGATAATGTAAAACCCACAAGATGACGACGTGGGAGAGCTGGACCTGAGTGGAAGTATGTTAATATCTCAAAATTTTTAATAGAATATATAATATATCTCTGTGATAAATTAAATAGTCATAGTTTATAGGGGGATTTCAGGTTAAGTATATTTTTCATGGCAGGTTCACTATAAATCTCCTGACTTTGAGTTAAACATTATGATCTACTGGTTTCTGTGGTGAATGCCCTTTGTTCTTAGAGTAGCAACTTGGCTTTAATATATAATTGGCCCATTATCTCAACTTTTGCAGAGCTTAAATTTAAGTTTTATTTTGCATTTATATTATATTCATCTTGCACTAGCTCCGTCAAGGTTGCAGATTGTATTAGTAAATTCTGACTCATGTGAGCATGTGTTAAGCCTGACAAATAATTAGTTAAAATCCCAGATTGTTTCCTTGGGATTAAATTGAATCTTTAAACACAATATTTATAATTGGGAGACAAGGAGTGGTAGCTCATAGCACCCTTTGAAGAATTGAAGCTGTTTTAACATATTCACGAGCTTATCCGTAATAAAATGTTTCTAGAAATTACATAACGTGTGATGGTATTTTATTGAAGCTAAACATGAAATGTGGAAGTGGAAGTCATACATATTAAAATTGTTATTGGGTAAAAACACAATGATAAAACCATTTTATAGCAAAATATATTTTCATATGTCACATAACAAAAAAATATATATAAATCATTAATGCAAAGCAAACCTAAAATGAGGGTTCATTGTCCCCTTTCCCCCACCAACTGCACCAACAATTACATATTCTATTGGTGGGATAAATTAAAGTATACATTTGAACAATCCTCTTTTCTTTCTCTACTGACACCCATTCTATGCAATAAATTGTTTCCACCTGGATTTATATCCACATATTTTGCCCACTATGATGATAGCAACATCACAGGACTGGGACACTTGTATGTAAATAACAAAATCTTATGTCATGGTTTTTTATTGACGTTAAGGTCATCTGCCTATTTTAAAGAGGTGTGGGGGGAGTGGGAAACTAGCTAAGTTTGGTTATATGATGGTTTAAGTTCTCGCTAATAGGACAGAACTCTGGTAATTCATGTGTTAAATCTTTGGGGAGATGTTTGGTTAGAAGTTATAGAATTTTAAAGTGAATAAGTTATGGTTGACCACGGCCTTTATCATCACATTTCGGAGTCTATGTGTTTTATTATTATATTCATTCTGTATTTGTTGTTTTACGTTATGCTATAATTAACTCCTGCAGTGCACAATACATTTGACTTCTTCTGATACCTACAACTTAGGAGTCTGGTATCTGCCCCCATCATTCACTGAGCCGGCACAGCTACCCATGCCTTCCTTTGAACGCTACTGTATGCTTTCACCAGCAAGGAAAAAGGCAAATATCGGACATGTACATTGTGCTAGCAACTCACACAAACCAAATACCTTTACCTTAATAAACAGCATGGGAATCAGATCTAGAGCCCCCGGATATGCACAGATTGGTCAAAAATATGGGATGCAATAGCTTCTCTTACAATCTGCTTTATACACAACGAACAAGCCTATAAAATATTATTTAGACGTTACCTCATGCGTCAATATCTAGCATGTCTAACATGATGCACCCCTTACCAAATAATCTATGCTGAAAACAGTGTGGAAAAATTAGGACTTTCCCACACTGATGGTGGATGTGACCAAAGTAATGCCTGGTATGGTAAAGTGTTATGGTGGTGCTTGGCAGAGTGCTGGTAGACCCTTTAAACCCCTGGGTTCTACTCTTATCAAAGCCGATGGATCCACGTACCAGGACAGAAAACACGCTTGCAGCAAGGATAGTCTTAACTACTCATAGGGTGATGGGGGGAGTTTGGGCTACATAACAGATTCCTTCACTAGCCCTTCTGGACAAGGATTCAAGAGTTTGCACAAGCTGGATTGCTGGAGCGGCAGGGGGATCGTCAGTTAACATCATCTATACAGCCTTGCAGTAAGCTTGCCACTACACCCCTCCACTGCGATCCTGAATGGCGCTCCGGAGCAAACCCGATCAAGTGCACCCTTTGCCGTCGGAGGGCTCTGGGGACCCTGTTAATGAAGTTGAGCACTGCTGGAACCATGGAAGCATAAAGCAGAAATGCATGGGCGCTTAGATCAGCGGTGGCGGGGTTCCCATACGAGGCCTGGTGGACTCTATATGTTGGTGTCCTTCCATCCACGGACATTGGCTGAACAGTTCTGTGACAAAGTCGCAGCGATTCTGCGGCTATGATAATTTCTTTGCGTTACTATATGTTGTATTGATCAATTGGCTATAATTCTATTGGTTCCCAGTGGCACTATATTTAATTTGTTGCACACATGCTTATCCACACAAGCAGGTAGTCAGTTCCATCCCCCGGCACTGCATACCCGGATATCACTCATGATTTATTTTTACCAATTCTGTTGATGTGCCCTAATTGATCATCTGCATTAGTTTCTTCTAGCAGCCCAGTGGTATTTACTTATTGAAACTATCTACAGTTCTGTTCTATAGCATTTTGAATTCTGTGAAATGATTTTGGGATATTGTGAGCTTGAGATGTAAGTCTATTCATTTCAATGTTGTTCTCTATTTTCTTGTTGATTGCAGTTATTGAAGGAATCTGTTGTGTAGCCCAAACTTCCCCTATCACCCTACGAGTAGTTAACGCTATCCTTGCTGCAAGATTGTTTTCTGCTCTGGTAAATTGATCAAACAGCTTGGGTAAGAGTAGAGCCCAGGGGTCTAAAGGGTTTACCAGCACTCTGCCAAGCACCACCAACACTTTGCCATGTCGGGCGTAATTTAATATGAGCTAATGACTACATCAACATAAGTTAGTGACAGCAATTTCTCAATTAATCCCATAGGGAAAAATTAAGTAGTATCCACATTTAAGTATTAAAAATTGTCTTTATTCCTGGTGTATGTAATTTTTAATAATTACCTGTAAGGTGTCAGATATATGAGAGCACCAAATTGAAAAATTTAGGCTTACACAATGATTTTGCCTAAACATTGCATTGAATTTGCTTTTCTTTGTTTAATGAATATAACCGTAAGGGCAATTTGTGAAGAGGGCAATTTGAAGGAATTGCAATGACAATTAATTTGAAAAAATACCTTTTTGTTCAATTTTCAAAATGATAAATGTTTACTAGTGGTCGGTACCAGTGGTGGTGCATGTGAATAGTATGCCGACCTTAAAGGGATACTCCAGGCACCCAGACCACTTCTGGCCCCGCCCCCTTTTTAGTGGGCCGCTGTAATTAAAAAATGCCCAGGCCGAATTTTCTTCCCAGTCCGGCCCTGCTGAAGGGTATTTTGTGTTTGCAATTATCTAATTACTAGGATCTAAGACCTAGCTTATTGGTAAAAGGCTGTTTGTTTTTTGTTTTTTTTGACAAGCATGTAAACTGGCAAAAAAACTTTTTTGCCTCCCTTTGTTTTTGATCTCCCATTTTTGGGGGCAATTTACTGAATTAATTAGTACAGACTGAATTAATATTTTTTCAAGTCAATT